CTCTCGAGAAGACGCTCCCTTCGCATGTCTCGTCGTCGGGGCAGATCCGGTTGTCGGTGTAACGGATGCCCTGCGGAGCAAAGAGGTGAGAACCGACAGCTGGGAGGGAGACAGCCACCTGTTGGACAAGAAAGACCCCAATCATCGCTGTCATGATTCCGACGAGGAAGAGAATGCTTTTAGTCAGATCTTCAAGTTCAACCCTAATCAGCGAAAGAGCAAGGATGCAACAAGCTCTCACCAATGAAGCAATCGAACTCGTGGTAAACCCACCCGACTGCTCCCACACTCGCTGTCGTGAAGAGAGAGAAGTATGTAGGAACAACCTGAACGTGGACAGTGCTGTCAGAGGAAGCAGGATAGCCCTTCATGCTTCTTACCTGCGAGTTGTCGAAAATCATCATCGCCTTGTTGACGTAGCCCATGCTCAGCACCGCGGTGATGACCATGACAATGAGGAAGATGTACGGCCAAGGGGAGAGCAGCTCGGTTCCGATGCCATTCTCAGCAGAGCTAATCAAGAGAGTCGAGAAGGATTTCGCGCAGACAATGGTCAACGAGGCAATGATTGCGCACATGATGATGTAAATTAACACTGACTTCTTCCCATACTTCCTGCTCACAGGAATCATTATCATCAATGAGCCAGCGAGCACTGCCAAGTAGATCCCAAAGTGTCGTGTAAAGATAACATCGTTCCACACCGTCCTAGATGAGAAGGTAATGACCGCCTTTGGAGCGAACAACACCACAATGACAATCCCAGCAACCACACACAAGACACCGAAGATATTCAGTATCGTCAGCGGCTCCTTGAGGACCCATGTCGTGATCAAGACATTCGTCACTACACCGATAGATCCTATCGGAGTTACAATTGCTGCAGGTGCATAGCCGTACGCAATCAGGTTTCCAACTTCCCCACCAATTATTCCAAGAATTCCAAACCACCTGCAACATGATTAAACATGAAACGACCTTTCATCTTCACACTTACCACCACGGTATCCTTGTGAAATGCTTCAAGGGCATTTTTGATTCTGGATCTATGTTGATATTGTGCGCATACTTCATGCAGTTCATCCCGACACTGCACAAAATGATCACAACAGGGAACTCGGTGAGAACAAACAAGGACGCACTTGATGATTATGTCTCCGAGCAGGGATAGAATGATTCCAATCCACGCATCCTTTGTTATCTGCCCCTCTCCGACATAGCAAGAATTTGTCACATTGTTCCACAGACACCCACTCAAGCTCAAGCATACTGCTGATGAGTTTTGCAGGGGACAATGTTCATGGCAAGTAACGTTCAACATGTTTTGTCAGAGACCTCTCAACTCTCTGTTACACCTCGAGCAAGACACTGATAACAGTCGAAATTTTGCAGGATGCTAAAGTACGAGGAGGATAATATTTCTAAATTGGGGTCAGAGTCGACGATATGTCTGACCCCTTAGCTGGTGGTACCCGTTGAATGTTGGTGGTTAAGATTGAGATATTCCTTCGCTAGATTCATATGCACGTCCTTCTCAACATCCTAGACAATGTTGACAACAAGTTGTCGGAAGGCGGCGTTTCAGGAGGTCAACAAGCCTTGCTCGCTTATTGACGCATAATAACCTAACAAAATGGTTCAGCTCCAATGCACATAATCCTCCAATTGACAAAGAACCCTGCTCACGTATGTTCCTTTGTTTACATTAGAAATCATAAACGTCTCATAAACTTTACTTCCAACCCCTAAAACACTTTCCCTCTGCTCTGTTCTCCTTTCCTTCCTTGTCCATCGTTCCTGTGTATTCCCTCTTGTCTCACATCTACCCATGCCCGTTGGTTTGCATAGTTTCGTGAACTACAAGCTCCCGAATCATAGTAAAGGAAGACATGCTTTGATCACTCAACTGTCTTTGCTCCTCTATGTCTTCCTTCCCTCCCTTCCATGTTATCTTCGATATGATCAGGTACATCAATTCCGGTCCGATGGAAAGATGAGCAGGAGCAACAAGAACATAGATTCACTTCAATCACAGCATGTTCCTGCAACTTCAAGCTGTTTAATTCCTCCTACTCCTCATTTCCTCTCTCCCTCCTGCGTCCCCTCACCCTCGCCTTCCCCTCCTTTCTTTCATTCCCACCCATCTCATTTCAGTTGCTCCGATCCATTCGATCACCCTCCACCCCCTCTGACCAACCCGTGGAACTACCCCTTCACCTCTACCCCCCTTAAATCTTCACACACCCCTGTTTCCAATACTACCCCAGGTACCTGCTACAGTTCTCTACCCCTACCCTACTGAATTGGTCATGGACCCCTTTTTTCCACATCACTAATATAACCCCTGCACGAATCACGACTCATCAACCACACCACCGGACGGCACGACCAAAATAACCCCACCCAATTATCTAATACTATGGAAACCCACCAAACCTAGGACCTCCGTGATATATGCGGATATGAATTCACCCCACCCACAAACTTACATTCTTGTACGCCCTACCCATCTGGTCCACACTGTAGCACACGGAATACCACCCCTACCCACCCTTGTCATGACCCCAGCAAAGCATATCCACCCTGTACAAGGTCTGAAGGACATTCTCGCAACCCCTACAAAAAATAACACCCACCCCATAAATATCACCCCACCCTTATTTTTCCCTTTTACCCCCTGCACAACTATTAAAAAATTCCTGATTACCCCAGTCTTCTTACTACCCTACCCCCAACAAAATTCTAATTCTACCCCCCTCCTTCTACGGCTTCTCGCCTTACCACCCCACCTACTAACTTTGATGTCCCAATTCGGACCTTGACCCCACCCTCTGGCAATCAGACCCTCATGAATCATAGGAATAGTACCCTCTTCCTGACCCCTCTACCTTTTCTGCTACCCGTGCTCTAGCTAATATCTTTATCCCCCACCCTGGTTGACTTTACACTACCCCTCATTTTCCCAATAAATAATCCAAGAAGGACCCCTATATATCCCTTTATCGCCTTCAAACCCACCAGACGACGGGAAGGAGAAAGGATTCTACCCGGGGTGGGTACCCCCACCCCCATCAGTTGTGAGGTACATTGTCAAGTTTGAAGCAGTAAAACCATCCCCACCCCTCAGTATGATATAAAACGATGCACCCGTGGTGAAAAAAAAAAAGATAGCAGGGCAACCCCCCTTTAGAACTGTAAAATTACCGGTGGTCAATGAAGTCAGTGACCGGCGTCGGCCCGGAATGACCGAGGCTCGACTCTATGAGGTGCTCACTACTAGTACACTATCTTTTAGTTAAAGATCTTCTCGCACTATCAGGCTTTTAGTACTGTCTCCTCCATTCAAGGCTCCTGGCCGTCCTCGTACTGGTTTTAACTTAACCTTGAGTAAAGCCTCATGGAATGGAAACCGGACTGATTTTAACTTAACCTTGAGTAAAAAAGACAGTGGACAGAATGTCGGGTGACCGTACTGTGGGCCAGTGGCCCGGGTGTGACTCGATGGCGGCCCGGCGGGCTCCCGGGCCCGGTCAGCCTGACTCAACTTCAAATCATTGAATGCGTCCGCTGAGCCTCCGAGGCTCGGAGACTCCGAGTCACTGACGTGTGACTGGCCGCAGCCCGCGGCCCGGCGTGAACTCTGCCAGACTCAGACGCGGTCATTGATCAGCGCGGCACGAGCTTCCTGTAGGCTCTGACAGTCAGCGGCGTCCGATCACCTGAGGTTCAACTAAGCACACGAACCAGGAAAGGTGATGTCAGCGATGCGATGAGGCGGATCGACCACAAGATGCTCGACGACTCCATCCACGCAGGAGGCCTCGACGACCTAAGTTCAATCACCGTAACAAGTCACTGAGTCAGTCGGAACAGCCGACATGTGAAAGTTCTCACCGTCTCTGCGGGAGCATGTAGACGGAAGCTCACCGGCCACTCCCTCGGCCAGGCAGGGAATAGCATGATGCTATCTCCATCGTACTGCACGAGCATGGACTGGAGGGCCAGCTTGGCAACAGCTCCGGTATCGACTTCGGGGGTGTAGTCAAAGTACATGGTCCAGAAGGCGGGGAAGAAGAGGCTGGTCGACATGAACCTCTGCACCACAAGCTTCATGGCGTCATGCGCAAGACCCAAGTGCGCCGCATGAACAGCGTCCTGGCACCAACCACGGTTGCACGGGAATGGCCTTCGAGCATACGCCTGAAGAGCCACGTTGAAGGAGAGGGAAGGAGGAGGATCCTTTCCCATTTGGAAGAGGCGGAAAGGAAACACGGCATAGAGAGCAGGGTTCTCGTAGTTCCTTGTTACTGGGCTCCAGGCTTCTGCAGGGGCGAGCATGGAGTATTGTCCTGCGTCATCGTTGAGAGAGAAGTCGACCTGGTAATTGCGCACCGAGCATGTCTCGTCCGGTACAGGCATAATAGGCAGGTCTGGAACCTTCGAAAGAAGATTCTCCCACCACTCCCGCTTCTCGTCACTGATTGACTGGTGCGGAATTTGCAAGAGCTCTTGAATCAAACTCCGCAGACCAGCCAAGTCCGGGAGAGGGTTGATAGCATTCTGGTATGTCTCCAAAGACTGCGAGGGGGAGAGAACGAAGATCCCGTTGAGGTCTGTTGGAAAGTGTTGTTCGAAGAAAGTAAGGATGTCATCGCTCAGGGGAAGCAACACATCTTTCAAGAATTGGTCCCTCTTCGTGTGCTTGTACCAGTCGCACGCCATCACAGCAAGCTCCAGGCTGGGAGTGTAGTAATGTCGAATGTACGAGCTCTGGATCATCCAGCTCGGCCTCCTCTCACGTGAGCATCCGTAGTCGCCATCCCCATATGCCCCCCACCAGTGCATCGTCTCGGGGATGTAACTGCCGTTGTGACCGAACCATGTCTTGACCCTCGTCCTGTGCAGGCGGCAGCTCTTCCAGTACATGTCAAAGAACGGCTGCATCAGCTCGCCATCCCCGCTCGCCATCATCCCCCAGTACGGCAGGCGGGTGTTTTGGAACCAGTACATGCCTCCCCATTGCCGGTAATCGGGGTCATACTTGTCTCCCTTCACTGTGAACAAGTTCCCGTTAAACTTGATCGGGAACATTCCCCTAGACGACAGGGCGTGCAGCAGGCGCTCGAGCACGAATCCTCTCTCTACCGCGAACTTCTCCTCCGGGCACCTGTTGGCTGCATGCTCTGCATCGGTGCAGAGCTGAATCCATGATCGCAGCCAGAAGTGTCGCCACCATCTATCATTGGCGAATGAGATTGAACCAGCCTCTGCCTCCTCGCCCTTGGCGCGAAGGCTCACGACGCGATCGACCCATTCCTGAGGCGAGCGCGTTGTGGCTGTGTGGAAGAAGGCTCTCATCTCATGGTAAGAACTCTTGACGGAGCTCTCAAGGGTGATCCTTGAAGTCTTCTTGAAACTCACTGATTTCCTTCCCTCTCCGGCAACAGAGCTCTTGCCCGATATGATGCCACCGAATGTGCGGTTCAAAAGAGGATCGGGAGCATCCCTGGCCTCGGGTATGTTGCTAAGAGCCTCGTTCTCCAGCAGCTCCCGGTAAATCGAGCGATTCTCATTGCGGTGAAACCAGACGATCGCGTCATTCTCGTCATCGGCAACCACGTCTGGGTAGATGAAGCGAGGCCTGCAGTTAGCTCCCGACGCACTCCCTTCCTCTCCAGCTTCAAATGGTCGTCGTTTGCTTCTCCACGTGTGCAAAGTTAGCTCGACCTCGGTTTGAGAGGACGGGTCCCATACTTGAACCAGCAGCCCTCCTCCGGTCATATCAAACCATGATTGGATGGTAATCCCGCTATCGAGCTTGACAACAATTGTAGCATTGTTGACATGCAATCTTGCCCTCATGTTCGCTAGAAGCATGCTTGGCCGCAGGCGCAACCTCACTTCACCCAACTTTAACAACCGACCATTTTCAGACCATGCGTCGTTTTTTGCGAGCAGAAATATCATTGTACCATCGTTAGCCACCCAAACATTTGCCGCTGCATCCCCACTTCCAATTGGTATTGAATCACTCTCCCTCATGCCGGCACCAGAGTGCTTCAAGTCATACACGCCTTCCCAGACCCTCCCAACTCTTGTTTCCCATTTCCTCCTTTCATGGGGCTTGTCCATCCTCTCTCTATCTTTCTCGTCTACCTTGGTCGTGTCTCCTGAGGCCATGAACACAAATGCCGCCATTGCGACAATCTGGTGCGATCCTCGCCTCCTACACCCCATCCTCTCTGTTACTCGTCACCTCCTCGACCTCCCCGACATGGTTGAGGCTCTCGGAGCGACTCTAGCTGGCGGGCCCGGCGGTGCTTCATAGAAATAACGTTAAACTACGAAATTGACATTCTTTATACAAATATAACGTTAAAATTTTTTAAAATAATTTAATAACGAGTTGTTTCGTTTACAATATTTTAACAGGAGGGAGAAAAAGGAGCAGGAAGAGGAAGAGAGAGGGAGCAGGAGGAGCAGGAGGAGCAGGAGGAGCAGGAGGAGCAGGAGGAGATGGAGCAGGATGTGCCGATAAAAAGGAAATAGTTTCTTTACCCCCTTTCATCCTCTGAATAGAGGGGGTAGGGGTCATGTTGCAAGTGTTTGGGAGAGGTGGGGTGAGGGTATTCGCAGTACCCCTCCTTTTCCCCAGCGTGTGAGTAGGATATGGCTTCCCAGGATTGGTAAGTTGGGGTAAGGATAGTTGGGGATGATAGTAGTGCCAAGAATATTCCACCAGGGGTACATGGATCCTAATTGTACCTTTTGGGGGTGGGTCTTCAAGAAAGTACAATACAGAAATTCTATGATAGAATATTCCAACACTAGTTTAGTCAATTATACAATAAATAGGGATTGTGGGTGGGTCATTCTTCAATACCAGGTTGCATATGTTTCCAAACAAGGGTAGGGAGCCATTCATGATGAGACACTGTTGATACCTTGATACTTTCCCTCTAGAGACACTATGCTATTTCACATTCCCCTCAGGATACCCCAAAAAGATACCATGGTCTCCATTTGGTACGGGTCCTTCACCCCAACTTCCTCTTGAGACCCCCAGCGGAAATCAAAGTCTACCCCCCTGCGGGAGGAGCCGGAGGTCTTCAGAGGAAGCGCCGCGTTCCACTTTCCTCATCCTCTTCGTCTTTCTTCTTTGCCCCCTTGCTTCTCATCAGTTCTTCCTCTTGGACGCACTTCCTCTTGCCTGTCTTCATCGGCACAGGTTCGCTTGTTGCCTGCCATCGTTTGTTGGCTGGTGCACGGAGGGTCAGGTTCTGGTGCAACTGGAAAGTCGTCAGGCAGTTCACAGTGCCCCAGTGGTCTGAACACAGATAAAGGGCAGCGGGTGAATTTCTGTCATCCTATATCTTGAGTTCAAGGACCTGTGTATCTCTCATCTAAAAGAACCATGAATTGGCAAGATCTTTGTTGCATGTGCTGTGGCGACATGCAAGCCTTCTGGGACAAACTTGCAAGACAGGTGGGTTTTTGTCATTTGGTGAATTCCCGAGATGTCATCGACATTACAATTAATATGATATACTGAACATTCACTACAGCTGCAGCGCTATCGCTACTGTGCCAACGGGGAATGTAGCGAAGGTGAGAGTTTATCTTTGTGATGTCGATTGGTCTTCTTGTCAAAGCATGCAAGCACGTGTGAATAAATTGACGGATGATTGTTGGTGGCAGACCCTCTGCATCAGATACCTGGCCAAGAGAGCGACCCATTCGATTCTGACACGTTCCTCCTCGCTGGTTTTATGGCCCTTCCGCTGCTGTTCTTCATGTTCAGCATGCTTCAGAGGATGAATACCCGACAGCGGGCACTTCCTCCGGTACGCGTCATAACTCGAAAATTGTTGAGTTCTTATAGCAGTTGCAGGGCAAGCCATCCAGAGATGGCCCAAACAATGACGAAGGACCCCCAATGCCCCCTGTGGACTGAAGTCGATCCTTGCTATCGTTTTCAAGTGGAGCTTGATTATTGTTTGTATTCTAGCTGTCAACCATCGGTTGAATTCTTCCAAGTAACTCTCCTTGTGTTCTCTTATCAACTTACCCAGTGGTAACAAACGTGTGCTGGCTGTCCAGTACGAAATCCTCCTTTACCTACTACATAGATTGTACATGTTCACATGTTCAATAAAAACAACGAAAAGAATCTCAGCAAGATCGCCCACAAGCATATTCGCAGGATCTCTCACAAGCCTTTCGCAATGTGACGTACAGTAGATTGGTGTTTGGCACATGCAAGGATTTAGCTTCAGAAATGCATTTATTAGCATGGATGTATTCCGCTTGCTTGATGCTGTGGCATTGCGGCTGCACAATTTATCTTTTTTATTCATCCCACCTTGTAGTGTTGTGTGCACATATCACTCAAAAACAAACAAGCACCTTACTACATGTCTACAGTCGTCTATCACAAATGTTGAAAATGAACTTTGTCAAGGTTTGTCTTAAGAATCAAGGTTGCGGCTCATGAAACCATGCGTTAGGGTTGAAATTGAGGTTTTCATAGATCGCTGGATTTTCATAGACTACAGAACAAGTCAGCAAATGACGCGGAAAGCTATTCACGTTTCTCACTGTGGTTGTTGGCTTCCCACAGATTCACATATTTCTCACAGTGTTTGTCGCAATATTGCATCTCCTCCCTGAAAGACTTGTGTTAGTACATACCTCTTACGCATTTCAAAACATTTCAACCTGGAGAAGAGATGTGTCTGAGCTTGAGGGTGTGAATTATTTGCTTGCTCATTCGCCCGAAGCAAGGCAAACATCTTCTCTTCCTCTGGAAGGTTATTATTAGAACAACAGATCCGATTATTTGCAAAGAACGAATTGAACTCGTTCAAAGGGTAAAGATATACACACAAAAGTGCGTCAACAACTAAAGCAGACCGAGTTGTTCCTGACTTGATTGGTGTACATCATTCATCATTCATCATTCCGTATCATCAAAACCACACTACACCCCAGTTCTAGACAAAATTCTCCAGTACTAGTTTCGCGACCAAAATTTTTCATTCTGGAGCATCGCGGAGAAGCGGAATAAGAGAGCGTCTTCTTACAGCATACATGTTGAACACAAACAATAAAATGTGATCCATCACAATCCGTAGGTTTTAGTACAAGAGGTTGTCTGAGATTTCTCAGAACCAAGGCATGGAAGGAAGCACTGTCTTTATAACACGATCGTTCTCTCCAGATACTCTTCGTTCAACCATTCCTACCATGAAATCAAGTTATGGTCTACAATTACACTCTGCACAGCCATTCCCGCCCCTAACCCGGAAATAGACTTGAAACTGGGCGAGCTATTTGACTTGGCAACTTGCCGCTTGACTGAGGCGGCCGCGGGCCCGGCCGGCGGCCGCGGTGGCCGGGCAGCGGCTGCGGCACTTGCGGCAGCTGGTGGTCTTCAGCCTTCTGTGATGTCGACGATGATGATGCAGAAATTCAGACCTGAGTTGCAGCTGGCCAGTCTGGTGCAGGAGAAGAGGATCTTAAAATATGCCTACTTTGCTGGCTACCCTTCCATTATTGAGTAAATTCATAGAGTCGGAGAGCAGTAGACGCAGGCATGGCATCTGCGCTATGGCTGGTGCTGCTGCGCCACGTGCTGTGGGTCCATCAAGCAGCTACTCATGGCACAGAGATTGCAGAATCAAGAGGATTGTACTTCAGTCTTGCTTCCTGCCTCACCTGCCAAGCGAACATGATGCCGCCACTTGCAAAGCTCCGTGGTAGTGGCCCGTCGAAAGGTACTCGCGAGCAATACTTTACGAGTGTAAGCTATGATAGATGATGATCTACTCGCAGGTTTTTCCAACAAGAGGCGATTGAAGCTCAGTGCAGACAAACGAAAGCAAAAGGCGAGGGTCATCGCAAACAACAATGAGCAGAAGAAAGCCCAGCTTGAGGTCGAGCGCGTGAGAGTCGAACTCGGGAAGCTTCAGGCGAAGATCATCGCGAGCAACAATGAGCAGGAGAAAGCCCAGCTTGAGATCGAGCGCGTGAGAGTCGAGCTAGAGTATATTCAGGCGAGGATCATCGCGAGCAACAATGAGCAGGAGAAAACCGAGCTCCGGGCGCAGGAGGCGGCAAAGAAAGCTGAGCTGCAAGAGCTTAAGCTCAACCTTCAGAAGCATTCAATGCGGCATGAGGAAATCTCACAGTATTTTTCCAGCGACGGAGGTAAGCAGTCAAGAAGTTTGCTTGGTTTTATGTGATGAATTGTTTTGAGCAGCAAGGGATGACGAACTTGAATTTCTTATGGGGCTGTGGAATGTTTCTTGTTCTGGAAGTATCAATGCCAATCAAACGACTGTTCGTTTGCCGAAAGGAACAAAGGTGTTTGATGGAAACGAGCTTTTGATACGGAAGTGCTACCGTGAAGTCAAGGATATCATTGCGATCAACTTCGGTTTAGACGGAGAAACATTAAGACCAAGAGAAAACAGGACATCTTTCACTTCAATCCTCATTACGGGCAACCCAGGGATTGGAAAGTCTTGTTTTGCGTTTTATTTGCTTCTGTACCTACTTCAGACACGGGAGAGCGTCTACTATCAACGCGGAAACGATCACTTTCATTTCAAGGGAGACTCTTGGTTTCGTGTGAAAAATGGAGAACAAAATCGCGAATCAATCTTGTACAAGCACAGAGGTTGGTATCTCAGCGACCTTCACCCAGAGTCAACTTGTTTTTATAGCACATACACCAAGAACGTCATCTTCTCCTCTCCCAAGAAACGTATTTTCAAACAAGCGTTAAGAGAAGGCACCGCCAAACGGTACTTCTTGCCGGTATGGACCGACGAGGAAATGGCTATCTTTCGAGAGCTGCACAAGACACGCTTAGACGATGCGGTAGTCAATCGAACTATCGAGCTTTGGGGAAACATCCCCAGAATGCTTTTAACGGATTCAAATTCCAGTTTGATTCAGGAAGTGAAGAAAATCACTGACGTTAAGGATTTCGATGACAAGGTCAGATCTGTGTACGATGAAGACTTCGATCTCCCTTCGAAAGTTGTACATCTTGTTCCAAGCCCAACGTACAACTCTGTGAAGGCTCAGATCTGCTCGGAATATGCAAAGGTTTTAATTTCCAGGTCCATGATGAACAGGGATCGCGACATGGCCTTCAAAGCTGCCTTCAGGGAGGAGGATGATCAAGTACTTTCAAATTGGGTTCTGTTTGAATTTCTCTCGCACCTCATCCTCAGAAAAGGAGGGAAACGAAAAGTAAGGCGGTTGGGGGAGGAGCAAGATCAAAGCCATGTGACTGAGACTGAGATGATGAGAAGTGAATATGTGGAATTCTGTGGAGGACCTGAAAGCTTGAATCGCCGTCTACTAGAAAGAACGTACTACAAGCCTTCATCCAAGACTTTCCCTTGCGTGGATGCTTTGATGCTGTCTGAGACACCAGGAGAACTGTATCTATTCCAGATAACAAGGGCAAAGCAGCATTCTGTGTCTTTTACACCTTTGTACGACATTCTGGCAAACATTACTGTGTTGAACAATGTCAGCAAAGCGAATCTCATCTTTGTCCTCCAAGACATTCGAGAAAATACGACAAGTTGGCAGCATGAACAAACCTTATCCATCAAGAGAGAGCTGAATAAACAACGAGGGAGCTTGGTAGGCCTTGGGATTGAGTTGTTTCAAAGCGTGATGATTCTGTCTGAGGGAGACGCACGTCAGGCGGTTGGAGGACTAGAATTTTCGCTCGAAGGCCTAATCCTGCCAGCAACTGAAAGTCATCAAAGCTTTTCTTAACTTGCTTCCTTGTAGACCAGAGCTTTTCATAACTTGTTTCCTTGTAGACCTTGTAGACCTTGAACTTTGTACTATGAAGAAGGGTTCAATGAGACTAGAGCTCTTACGGTCGTGATCTTGTGATTCTTCCTTAGATGAGCTATCTCCGCCGTAAACGGGTCTCAGATGCAAAATCTATATTCCACCAATTACAAGTTTGCACCTTGGTATGCTCCCTGCACGGGTCGTTCATCAACCTCTGTCCTTGACAACTCGAGCTCCTTCTTTTCCACATCGCCATCTCTTAAATGGAGCTTCATACTTGTGCTGGGTTCCTGACAAGTTATGAGTACTGTGGTGGCTATGTCTGATGTAAGGAGCAATCATGCATGAGAGAGGTTTCAAGACTAGCAGAAGCTAAGGCATGCGCGCGACTGCTGACGATTGCTCCTCGCATTGGTTACCCGGTTCACAGAGCTTCCTGATCGCCAACATCTTCGATCTACCCTACGTTGGTTCATTCAAGCCCCCAATCAATGATCCATCGCCCAACCCGTGAATACTCATCCCTCCTCCGATCATCCAAGAAGACACGATTCATCCGACCAGAAAACTCATTTCCAATCATTCGTCAAAGCAGTGCTGGTACTTTCTGTCAGCCAGTGCAGTCTGATGACTCCAAACATTCTTTCGCCGCATCCTGCCAATCAAGATTGCAACTTCTGCCTCCAAGTTTCCTCTTCTCCCATCATGCTAGAGCGATCCCCATTGCCAGACGCGTGTTCCTATCATCCTCCAGCGCCCTCCTCCTTCCCAAGCCAACACCATTCAAGGGTCTTTTCAACTGCTGTAGTGGAGAGTACAAACCTTGGTACCTTCGAGCAAACAGCAATCGACAAATTCCGACATGGCCTTCCAGAAGCTTTCCTCCGTTCTGTGCCCATTGCTGTCAACCAACACCACACCCAGGGGGGACGACACGCTCCTCAGTGCAGTCCTTCGTCTCAAACAGACGCTTGTCTGTGGCAGTCAGGTTCCACACCAAGTAATGCCCAGCATGCTCCTGTCTCAGACTTCACCCCCGCACTGTCATGGCACACTGCTGAATCGTCACTGTCAAATCGTGCAGAAGTGAACTTGACTACACTCCTTCCTGGTAGGTCACTCAAAGATTCCTGGCGCTCAAATGCCGTGCTCCGGGGTCTGCAGTTAAGCTTCGGCTTCCGCTCGCAAACAGACGTAAGCCTGTACGGTGCGAGCAAGACCTACTATCAGTAGTAGCCTGAGCCACTTGCCAAGTCTCTCACTTCAAGTTGCGTTCACCCGTGACTCGACATCAGAAGTAGCGGGGCGTGTTCGGTGGGGCAGCCTCCCTGTCGTAGCTGCAGCACAGCTACAAAGACGGTCTCCCCCTCTATTGCCACCCTCTTTGTATGTTTGACTACCCCTGATTTCCGACCCAAAATCCTCCACCCTACCCCCCTGCTTTTTGACATCTGCTGTCATTCTCCTCCCGCCATGTCTGTCTCCTCCTCATCCTCTTCTTCCCGTGCGTCTTCTCCCCAGCAGCAGCTCCAGCCCTCCTACGAGGACGACGACGATGCTTCGTTTCTTGCGCAGCACCACGGAGGTGCCAAGTATGACTTTGACCAAGCTGCTGCCCTATCGTGGATTGTAGAACAGTTGGAATTGCGATTGGGAATAAGCAAAGAAAGCATAGAAGCCGTGGTGGAGGTGGAGGCGACCAAAGTAGCTGTAAAGGTAATATCATTCCTGAATTATGTGGCAGATATAGTGTCATGGTTGAGTCATCAAAGTGTATGACTGAAAGTTTTTTTTGCAGAGTTTCATCCGAGGGGCTGGACCGTACAGGAAGCGGCTGATGTTTTACTATCAAAAGCAAACACCCAAATACAACACCAAAGTGATCCCGGGCTTAAGTAAAACTCACGGACTTGCTTTCCTGAAGGTCTTGTTCTATTCCTTCTTCAATGCGAGTTGATTCTTCCCACAGATCGCATCAGCCGCCTTGAGCTCGAAAGCTAGACAGTCGGTTGATCAATCGGTAGGATCAGAGTTGGAGGTGTCTGACAGCAAGAATGCTACCAACTCCCAAGAAACCCAGCTGGTGCTGGCAAACCCCTTTCGTGAGCAGCTCAAGGGACACTGCGTATGGTTTCTAAGAAGGGGCTCGAATTCATTGAAGGCGAACAATATCTGCGAGTATGTGACATGCGGAGAGGTCATCGGCCCTTCCTTCGACTCGATTCATCTGAACTTGATGGAAGTATACAAGCACATCCTGATGGATTCACAATGGGAAGGATGGAAAGATTGCAAAGTCGAAGATCAACGGGAGATGTTGAACACCTTCGATTCAGTGCTAGAAAAATTCTCGAATATCTCAGAAGAAGCCAGGAAAGTGGTCGAGATAGCCAAACCTGATCAGAAGATCCTCCTCGACGACAGGTCCAGCCTCTCTTCGGATTCCCGCATGATGCAGGCACATTGCGAAACGATCCTCACAAAGTGGTGCGACCAGGCAGAGGAGCTGCTAAAGGAGCAAGAATTTGACAATTCGGCGAAACTGATGGATGTGATTGGACCCAAGGAGGAGGGAGATGGCTGGAGGACACGTCTGATGCGATTAGTTGGGTTCACAGATCAACTTCGTCTACCTGAATGCAAACAGGTCATCACCGTTAACTCCACCTCTCATTCCAAATCGAGCAGAAGATGGAAAATCCTCGAGCTTAGAATCTCCGATGCTATCAGTGCAACCAAGGAGAACGTCCGTCACTTTGCTCTGCTCGAGCCTCGTCTTGACAAGCTGTACCAACCCAAACCGAAAGTCGCAGAGATTTATGACTCGATCTTACCCATCTTTCAAGGCGTTCAGCTCCTCTGCGTCTCAGCCAAGTCATATCAAGTCGTCTTAATTGTTTGCAAGCAAACTAACTTTGCTGACTCCTTTACTGGCAGAATCCGCATGTTGTCACACAGTTTCTGAGAAGGATAGTGAGGCAGGTAATGATGGCCTGCAAGAGATCTCTGCTAGGAGACAACCAAGCTTCGGATTCAATCTGGAAACGAAACTTAGCAGAAGCTCTTGCCGACTCCAAGGGAGCCGAAGATGTTCTGACCCTGCTGAAGAATGAGTGCAACAAGACCATCACCTACCTTGATGGGATCCTGAGGTTCAGCTCGACCCTCCTCTTGCTCACCCCTCAAGTTTCTTCCACAGCAAATCTAGAAATGTCAAGATCGACTCCATTACCGTCTTCCAAGGCCTCGACCCTCTCCTCCAGAGATTCTCTCAAGTCGCCGGGGTTTTCGACTCGTGGATCCGGTTCCGAGCGTTCGCAGACATGCAGGTGCGAGCGCGGGAAGGGGAGGGGAGGTGAACGAGCTGAGTGGAGAGCAGGTTGAGATGCAGGGAGTGACGCAAGTCCTTGAGGACTTTGACGGGCTGATCTTCAAGCTCACCAACGGCTTCACTAGGAACGACATGTTAGATGAGACTGAGAGATACAACGACTTCTATCACGATTACGTCATGTTCAATTCCAACCTGCTGCGGGTGACAACCATCGTGTCCTTCACTGTCACTCCCTTGATGACATTATCAGCTGGATGAGCTCCTCTGGAAGGAGCTGGAAACGACTGTACAGAACGAGGGGGTGGACATCAACGACGTGCTGAAGTTGATGAAGAAGGTTTTGAAACATCGCTCCTCCTCCCTCTGACACATCCTCCTGCCAGTTCGAGAGCATATCAGGCCGGGACAAGAAGGGAGCCTGGCGGGGAATCGAGAAGCTGTACCAGTCTGTTCTCAGGAGATTCCTTGAGATGATACGAAGGATACAAGTAATCCTCTCCCCGCAAACTTGCAGGACTTGTTGACATACCTGCTGCAGGTGGAGTACGAGGTGAACAAAGAGTCACCTCCTGCACAGAGGAACGCCTCTCCTGTTGTCAATCACATCCTATGGGCTCGGCAGCTGCAGCAGCGGGTGAAGGAGTCGGTGGCGAGCTGCCAGTCCATGAGGACGGACATGCACGGCACGGCTCTCTTCCGGAAGTTCATGCGCATTGCAACGGTGACGGATGAGACGCTGGCTGACTACATGGCAAGATGGTATCAGGTGATGCTTGACTCGTCCCTGCCCGTTGACGTTTTTCTTTGATCATGCCGCCCCTCTGATTCACCCATGAGATGTTTGACATGGTGTTTGTCGAAGGCCTGGACCAGCACAGTAGACGTCTTGTGGTCTGGGTTGCAGGCAACTCTTCTCATCAAGCACCCCGAGACATTCGAGTTCTGCGTCAACTTCGACGACGGGGTGTTGCAGCTGGTGGGCCGCAGCTGAAGTTGACACTCCCTCCTGACGACCTGAGACAGATTCGAGACGCCAAAGGATTCCTTCATTGCGGGTTTGCGCTCCCTGAAGCAGCTCGGAAGGCGCTGGAGAGGGAGACGACGCTGAAGAGGCACAAGTCTGCTCTGATCGAGATCCTGCAAGAGTACCGGACATCGATCCAGCGCATCCCTCCTCCTCTCAAACCCGCGATGAGCAACATCATCGACGACCTCGAGGTCTCCAGCTCCCTCTTACCTCACACCTCTTGCGTTGACATTTGACGCAGTCGAGGATGAATCCTGGGCTCTACTCTCTCACGTGGGTCAGGTGAGCTCTCAGCTGGGGAGGGAAGTGGATAATAGCTCATTGTGCTTGACAAGCTTGAACATCGACGCCTTTCTGTTGAGCATCCGAGCTGGTCTGGAGTACCTCAACTCCCTCATCGATGACACGCACTCCATCCTCACTGACCGGGTCAATCTTTGACTTTGACAAGCGGGAGTGCCTTGACAGCTGGGCAGGTGGAGAGGGTGCTGAAGAGCATCCAGGACACGACGCTGATCGAGATTCCCGACAACGTCACCTACACGCTGGGAGGAGGAGGCATCGACAAGTTCCTCGAGGACCAGAAGTCCACCATCGTCCAGAAAGCCCAGCAGGTGGCCCAGGTAACTCCTCCCCACCTCCTCCCTCACCGAGTTTGACACCCTTACTTCCTCTCCCCAGCTGAACAGGGAGGCGGAGATGGCGGTGGAAGAGGTAGTGAGCAAGATTCCATCCCCGTACGGCTTCCACACTGACGACAACCACTACCTGATCGAGCTGAAGAAGCACTATGGCTTCATGAGCTACGTGGCCGTGCGGGAGGGGCTGGTGCTGACGCTTAACAAGCTCAAGGACAGGCTGATTGCTGGCCCCACTGGCCTCTTCTACATCGACCGGCCGATCTTCGACGTCGATGTCGAGCTGCAGTACCCCAACGTGGCTCTCGTCCCGTCCCTCGAGCAGATCCAGCACGCCATCGACGAAGTCGCTCATATGTGTATCCTCTCCACGGCCAAGGTCGCCATGTGGGGCTTTGAGGGAAGAGAAAAGAAGGTTACAGAGGAGGGGGAGAAGGAGGAGACGGAGGAGAAGCAGGAGGAGAGCAAGCTTGATCAGAAGTTCTCTATGCACTTGCACATTGCCAAGGACAGGAAGGTGATGAAGATGATTGTAATGCTGGCGGGAGGGCTCGGGGTGCTGAAGCAGATGGTGGAGGAGTTTCTTCAGCCGTTCCACAGGTGGGACTATCTGTGGATGACAGACAAGAACGCTGCGATCGAGGTCTTCCTCAAGAAGATCGGCCTGCTAGCTCTCTTCCTAGAAGACCCCAAGGAGAAAGACTTCCTCCTCAACCTCCACAGCAAGTCCCAGAGGATGCGATGGGACGCCAAGATCGTCAGCAACCAGCATCCCCCGCTGCGCATCGCCAAGACGCTGAAGCAGATTGAGAGGCACTCCATGTCGCTGCGCTCGCCCGTCTTCGATGCCTCTGCCGTCTCTTCCCTCCTCCAAGAGATGGAGAGCCACTGGAAGGTGGAGCAGGAAATCCAAGACATCACTCCCGTGCACAACATCGGAGCTCTCTCCCTCGACACCGTCGCTCTCAAGAACTCGCTCAAGGCTGAAGCTCGCTCCTGGAAGACGCTCTTCGCTCAGTTCCTCCTCGCCCAGGCCCTCGGCTATGTGCGCGGCCTACACGCAGCATGCGACAGGCTCATCGAGGAGGTGCAGGCAACAGTGGTGGACACGTCAGTGGACGGGATGGTCACACTCCACAATACCATCCAGCAGGCTGACCAGCTGGACAAGACCTACGGGTCCCAGCTGACTTTCGTGGAGTCAGTGCTCGAGAGCACTCAGGCGTGCCTTGTCGTTAGCGCTGACTCGCTGCGCGTGGAGTTCCAGCGGCTGAACTGGAAGTTTGCGGAGGTGCAGCGGCTGAAAGAGCATGGGCACATGGTCGTGGTGCAGGAGAGGAACAAGCTGATCGCCAAGATCTCGTTCGAGGAAGAGAGTCTTCGCAAGGACATCGAGGCCCTCAAGCGAAGTTTCTTCGGGCTCGACGGCCCCACCCAGCCGCTGTGTGACCCCCGGGATGCGCACAGGCAGATCAAGGAGCTGAAACCTCAGCTGCTGCAGCTGGAGGAGAGGTGGAAGAAGCTGAGCAACGCGCAGATTTCAATGCAGATAGACCTGATGCCCTCCTACGGGCTCGAGGGCATTCGGACGCACTTGGAGCGCTTCGAGCGACTTTTCATGCTCAAGGATCGGATCGACGAGTCGCTGCAGTCGCTCTTCGGCATGTCCATCATGAACTTCGTGACAAACATCTCCTCTCACCTCGCGTCCATCGTTGGGTTCCAGGAGGAGCTGAAGCAGGGGGAGGACTTCATCAAGGAGAACCGAGCCTACAAGGAGCTGGACAGGCTCCTCACCCGCGCCTACAACAACCTCCACTGCATGCAGCTGGTGGAAGACATCCATTGCATGTCAGAAGTCCACTGGTTGGAAGTTCTGCAGGCCAGGAGGAACTCCGTTGCTTTGTTCGATGACGCAGACCTGGTAAACATGAGGAGCAGCCTCGACCCCTCCTCCTCCCGCCGTCTCTTCGTTTCCCAGGGCAGTCTGCACTCCATGTCCTCCCGCCGGCTCATGACGTCTGTCAACGTGGCCGACATCATGAAGATCAACTTGACCCGCAGCGTCGAGCTGCTCAGGATCGCAGCGGCACGAGCGAGGAAGGAGCAGTTGACACGCGACGTGATCAGGAGGATCGAGTTCGAGTGGAGGAGCGAAGAGTTTGTCTTCCAGCAACACATGACTTCCTCGGGCATCCTGGTGTACATCGTGGATGGTCAGTGGGCAGGAAGGACGACCATGGCACTGCAGGAGAGCCTGTCCCTCCTCTCCAACTCCCAGTCGCTCTCCCACTCCTCCCACCACCTACAGGAGGACGAGAGTCAGTTGAACCTTCACAAGCAGGTCAAGCAGTGGTACTGGTCTCTGCTAGTGGCCAAGAGGACCCTCGCTCAGCTTATTGAGGTCCAGGGGTTGTGGACCACCATCCAGTGCGTCTATCATGGTACTGTCACCCTCCCCTCCTTGTTTCCTCTCTCTCTCTCCCTCTCCTTCTCCCCACCCCCTCTCGCTCCCTCTCCCTCTCCTTCTCTCGCTCCCTCCCCCTCCCCCTCCCCCTCTCTCTACTCTCCTTGTCCTGCAACGTTGTCTCCTCTCGTCTGCCGCCGATACTTACAACTTCTTGTTTACTTTCACTCTCTATCATTCTCACGATCCCCTTCACACGCGTTCTTGCTGCGATCCTCTACACCTTCTCTTCTCTTTGTTTTCTTCCTTCTCTTCCTCACCTTCCACGCTCCTCCTTCTCCTCTCTCCTCCACCCTCCTCCTTCTCTTCCATGCACGCTTGCATCCTACCCCTCACTTCCCTTCCTTGCAGATCCAGAGGTTGGAGTGCGGGAGCCGAGAGCGCAGCGAGGGTTCCAGGTGGCGGAGCAGCAGCTGCTGAACATCTTGAGGCAGATGAGAGAGTACAAGAGTTTCGTGTACTATTTCTGCGAGCGAGACTCTGTCCGCAACCTGCTGCCGACCCTCCAGTCCAAGTTCGAGCTCGCGTCCAAGGCGCTGTCTCAGTTCCTGGAGCATCAGCGGAGGAACTTTCCTCGGCTTTACTTCGTGGAGGACAAGGACATTATTGAGATGCAGTACGCCTGCGTCAACAACCCCTCCTCCCTCCGCTACTACCTCCCGCTCATCTTTGACGGGGTGGCCGACCTGTCCTGGAGGGAGGTAAAGCCTTCTCAGGACGGGGAGGAGGAGGGAGGGGACCCGCGCATGCAGCAGGTTCAGGTGCCGATGGGCGTGCAGGACAGGAGGGGAAGGAAGCTTGAGTTCGTGGAGGAAGAGCGACCCACCCCCGGCGACTCGAAGATCGACAAGTTTCTCAGCTCGATCGAGAGAGCTACGACCCGGGCTCTGCTGGAGAACACCAAGGAAGGGATCGAGTACTTCCTGGGCTGCTCCGACCATGGGCTCACGATGCTTATAGACTTACAAGCGATGGAGAAGGCGCTGGAGAAGTTCGAGCTGCAGACTCTCTTCCTCGTTCTCAGAATGTTGTGGACCCTCGGGGTCAGCAACGTCTTCGACCGGGCAAGGACCAACTCCCTGCCCCTCCTCCGCCTCATGCAGACGGCACAGCGGGGGCTGGCTACAACTCTCGAGTCGACGGCACTGGCGCTGAAGACGAGCAAGGGAGGAGAGGTGAACGCCAAAGTCTCCTCCATCCTCTCCCTCCTCATGAACCTGCGCGACTCCCTCGACTCGCTCATCTCCTCCAGTGTCGAGGGCGCCAGCGACTTCGAGTGGCTGCAGCATCCGAGGATCTACTGCGACATCTACAGCTCCCGCGTGTGGCTCTCCCTCCTCAACTCCAGTGTCGAGTGCCAGCACGAGTGGCAGGGTTCTCTTCCCACTCGCATCGTCCTCTCTCCTAGCACCGAGCGCTGCCTCATGACCATGGCTGCCTCCCTCCGCTCCTTCCGCTGCCCCTCCCTCCTGGGCCCTGCTGGCGCTGGAAAGAAGAGCGCCATCCATGAGCTAGGACGCATGACCGGTCATTTCGTCTGCCACCGCATGTGTACGCAAGGGTCCTCCCTCACCAGCATCGAGCGGCTTATCAATGGGTCAGAGACGGCGGACTGCTGGCTGCTGCTCGAAGGCTTCATCTCCTTCTCGCGCTCCTTTCTCTCCGTCGTCAGCAGCAAACTCAACGGTATTCTCATGCGCTCGGCCTCGCTGCAGCAAGACATCTCGGTGAGCTACTCGTCCCATGCCATCTTCAACAACGTCACCTCCTCCGCCATCTTCCTCTGCAGCAACGAAGCCGTCTCCTCCTCCTCCTTCTTCCATCTCCCTGAGAACCTCCGGCGCCTCCTCCGCCCTGTCCGAGTGCGAGCAGCCGATCGCCTGCATTTCGCGCAGGTCAGGCTGGGAGCCAACGGCATCCCGGAGTACGCGACGATGGCGAAGAAACTTGACGCGGTGCTTTCCTCCTGCAAGTTTCATCCGGTGCTGTCGCAGGGGAAGGCGAGCTGGGGCACGAGCTTGCTCCTCCGCGTCATCAACCGCATCATCCTCCTGCAGCACGAGCAGAAGAAGTCCGATCCCGACAGCCTCGTCCTCCTCGCCTTCGCCCAGGAGCTCGGGCCCCGGCTGATCCCCGAGGAGCTGCGAGCCTTCCAGCAGGTCCTTGCAGAGATCTTCAGCATGGGAGCGGCGAAGCTGCAGGAGTTCAAGACGAGCGGGAGGGAGGGGCACCTGGACCTCTTGAGGGACCTCCTCCTGCACTTTCGCAGCTCAGGTTTCATCCTCAATGACGAGATGCAGTCAGCAGCGCTGCGGCTGCTGGAGAACTTTCACATCCACTCCTCTATCCTCGTGCTGGGGCAACAGCTGTCAGGTAAGAGCATGCTCATTCGGCTGCTCGCACATCTTGCGAGCTCGTCCTCCAAGTCGGCGGAGGAGAGCGGGAGAGGGCCATTGGCTACCTTCAACTCCTCGGGAGGAGGCAGTCTCAACATTGCAGGGGAAGCAAAAGGTGATAAGAGCTGTTGTTCTGTTGGTGAGGTGAATCAGCATCTGGTGTTGTGCTCTGTTTGATTGTATTCTTCTCTCTCACTGACAATTTGATCGATGACGTATTGTTCTTCATATGACCCTTGTTTTCTCAGCTGCTGCTCTCTACTTTCACTAAACTTTTCCCAGACTCCCCAGGCTTCTCTCCGGCCATCTCTGAGATTGTTCGCATTATTCCCTCCTCCCTTACATTCACAAGTTTCTTCGGAGCTTTCGACAAGGACACTGGACTATGGCAGGATGGCGTCTTCTCCTCTATCTGGTGATACCCGTCCTCCCATCCCTCATCGCCTCCCCCTCCTCCATCTTCCCCTCCTCTTCTCTCCCTCCTTCCCACTCTCCCTCCCTCCCTCCCTCCCGTTCTCTCCTCTTCCTCTCCTTCTCTATCACCTCCTCCAGACCCTTTTCTTCCTTTTCATCTCATTCTCAACTCTCTTCTCACTATTGCGCATTCCTATCAGGCGCGACTGCCATGGCAAGGACGACGCCTTCCAGCAGTCAGTGTTCCTCGTCGTCCTCGACGGCAGCATGGAGGGCGCGTGGGTGGAGCTGCTGACGAGCATCATGAGGGAGAGAGAGCTCTTCCTCCCCAACGGGGATCGCATCTCACGCAAGAGCCTCCAGACTGAGACCAAGCTCCTCTTCGAGGCTCCTCCTGCCTCCCACCTCAGCCCAAGCACCACCAGCAAGTGCGGCATCGTGCACGTGCAGGAGGCGTGCTTGAGCTGGGAAGACCTCCTGACGCGATGGGCGCTGACACGTCACTGTCACTTCCACAAGCTCATCAAGAAGTTCCTCGAGGTCTACTTCCCCGTCCTCCAGCGCCACGTCAGCAGGGACGTCGCCTGCCTCTCCTCCTCCTCTCAGAACGCCGTTCACGCCATGAGAGCCGCGCTCGCTATCATCGATGCTCTCCTGCGGGAGGCCATCGCTCGGAACCAGATCCTGTTCGCACAGCGCGAGACGGACGCGGGAGACGCAGAGGCGCTGGAGAGAATGGCGCTGTTTGCGCTCGTGTGGTCAATTGCGGGAACGTGCCGGGACATGGAGCAGCGGAAGAGGTTCACACACTTTCTAAAGAACTCGACCAGCATCATGGTGCCAGGAGGAGGGGGAGAGGAGGAGACGACCATCTTCGACTGGGGCCTTGACCTTGACAGCGGTCTGTGGATCCGATGGAACGCAATGGGGATGGAGGAGGTTGAGAACTTCGGATGCGGGGCTATCAGCCGGTCCAAGACCTTCTTCCCCACCGCTGAGAACGTTTGTGCCTCCATGATCATCAATCTAATGGCTCCTTCCTCGTCCTCCTCCTCGTCCTCTTCCACGTCCTCTTCCTCCTCCTCCCCTATCGATGATCACGACCAGGGGAACGGGGGCTGGTCGCAGCCCAACGGGATTCTGTTGATGGGCTCCTCTTCCTCGGGTAAGTCCTCGCTGCTCCATCAGATCACGGCAGGGAGGAGGATGCAAGGGAGCGGAGTGATCAACTGGAGTTGCTCCTCCTTCGCCCGGGCTTCTGACATCCACCAGACGCTGGAGGTCATGCTGAAGCCGCTGCCGTCAGGAGCGCTGTCCCCGCTCGGGCGCGGAAGAGGAACGATCGTCGTCGACGACCTCCACCTGGCTCCCTTGACCACGAGCGACTCAGTGTGGGAGTACCTCCGGCAGCTCACGACCGAGCACGGGATGTACACGACGGGGCTGTCGCCCGAGCAGAGGAGGAGGAGGACGATCCCGCTAGTCAATCTCTCGTTTGTGCTGTGCATGTCCTGCCAGCGGCCCACGTGCGGGCCTCTTGCCTTCTCCCTTCCTGCTGGCGACCCTGGTGAGGAGAAAGAGGCTTGGGGGGGGGGGGGAGGAAGAGAAGGGCAGGGAAATTGAAAGGGGAAAGGAGAGAAGAAAGGATGGAAGAAGAGGTGGAGAGGGAGAGCGGGAGGGACGAGGGGAGGGGGTGACTGAGGGGAAGACGCAGTGGGAGATGGGAAGGAAGAGGGAGAGAGAAACTTTCAAGTGCGATGCTGGTAACGTGTGGTACAGAGCATGGGACGTGGGAGACATTTCAGCACAAGTTTGCGACATGGCAGGACGACATCAACTGCTCAGTTCAGCGAGACGAAGCAGCAAGGAGGATGATGATGCAGCTCGTGAATATCGCCATGATGCCTCCCTCGCGCGAGGACCTCCTCTCCATCGCAAACAAGATCCTCCGTCCTTACTTCTCCCACTTCTCCTCCCTCCCCGATGTCTTGCAGTGTTTCGATCTCATCATCCGCACCGTCGTGCTCACAGTGGAAGGAATAGGAAGCATCCTCCCACCCTCTCGCTCCCATCAGCTCCACTTGTTCGAACTCCCCGCCATGATTGAGCTCTGCCAGGGCCTCTGCCTGTGCTCCATGTCCGAGGTCCGTAACAAGAGGGAGATGTTCCAGCTTTTCCTCCATGAGAGCAAGAGAACATTCATGGACAAGTTGTCGTCCTCTACTGACCGAGATGGTGAATCTTGTTTTCGATCTCTCTGACGGGCTGATCAAGTTTGTCAGTTGCTGTCAGGTTCCTCAACACCGTCACCTCGAAACATCTGTACAGAGAGTCTTCAGACCGGAAGTCGAGGAAAGTGAACTATTTCGTGGGCGACTCTGTACTTGAGATTGACTACATCTCCATCGACTACACGTTCCTTCCCAACCACATCCACTCCGCCCCCAACGCTCGTCAGATGTCAAATTTTGCAAGCACAGATCAAATCATTGAGGTCTGTAGTGTGAGTGTTTGTGCTGGGCTGAGATGCATTTGTATGCAGGAGGAGGAGGAGGATCAAGATGCGGATTCTGAGAATAGCACCACAGGAGGAGGAGGAGGAGGAGGAGGAGGAGGAGGAAACTCTTTCCATGGGGACATGTTCACCAAGACTCAGTCTGAGATACATCACTACTACAGCATCTGCAGGAATCGAGAAGGAATTGTGCCTGAGATCTCCACGGGAGTTAAGATGAGTCTGAGTGAGTCCTGCAACGACCCTACAGTGATGGTTGGAACTTTGAGTCAGGTTGTGTTTCTGTTTGTGACATGTGTCGTCAGGATCTCAACGAGGACTACATGCAGTTTATCTTCTTGATCAACCGCCTCGTCTTCCTCAACAGAACCATCGCATCTCGTCTCAACATGGAACCTGTTAGCAACTTCTTCAACCTGGACTCTCCTCGTCCTGTCGTCGTCGTCGAGCGCGAGGCCCTTCAGTCCAACCGGCTTGTCGACCTGGCGGCCAACCTTGCCAGGACAAACCTGGTCCATGTCAGTCAGCTCATGGATCGCTCGTTGACTTGTGCTGTCCGCGATTACGAGGAGATCGGAACGTCGGATACGATCTTTCATGACGTCATTAGCACTGTTGTCAAGAGTCTGTATGCTCACTGCGTGTTTGACGACGAGACTACAATGTTCTTCTTCGACTCCTCCCTCTCCCATCCTCGCCTCATCTCCGCCATGATGCAGATCTCTTTGCAGGGCCAAGGCTTCTCCTTTCTCTCCTCGTCCGACCGCGACAAGATCTTAGAGGACCTGCGCCAACGGCTGGGGGTCAAAGGCCAGCAGCCCGGCGAGCTGGACGTCTTCACCTCCTCCGAGTTTCGGCTTAGGAAGAACCTGCAGCTGATTGTTAGCACCTTGACTGAGCGATCGGACAAGTTGCTGGGGTCTTCGGACCGGTTCTCCCTCCTCCAGTCCTCCTGCGAGCGCCTCATCAAGTCCGCCCACATCCTTCACTTCCCCGAGCTCGGGGAGGACGCCGCGACCTCCATGGCCGCGGAGACTCTCAAGAAGATCAGTGCATCAGCTGGAGTCGAGCTGAAGCACAACCTGTCCTCCACGCTGACTCAGCACCTTTCGCACATCCCGGACGCGCTCAGGAAGCTGGAGAGGAGGGGAGGGGCGGCAGGGCCAGAGAGAGGAGGAGGAAGCTGCGAGGGAGAGTTTCTCTCCTGCCTCCACTCCAAGTACGACCTCTTCCTGAGAGACTTCGAGCGGCTGCTGGAGGACAAGATCTCCTGCTTGAAGGGAGTCTGGACGAGGCAGGAGAGAGCGGCGGAACGGATCAAACGAGGAGAAGAAGAGCTCAGCACATTCCAGGCGCAGCTGCGGCAGAACAACGGGCTTGCCGTAGCCAACAAGCTGAGGATCAACAGCGAGCTGGCGGACATGCAGGACCTGACGTACGAGATCGAACGCCGCCGGCTCGTCCTATCCAAGATGGTGCAGGAGAGGAACGAGCTGGAGGGCGAGCTGGATGCGCAGCTGGGCAACGGGTCGTTCTCCTTCAAGATCCTGCATGAGGACGTGAACGTCTGCCAGCAGCAGCTGAGGGAGGTCAACAGATTTCAGATCGAAGCGTGGATGACTGTCAACCAGCTCTCCGACCTGACCGAGCTTGTCACCGACTCCATCCTTCTCTTCCTCTCCAGGCAGCTCAACATCATCTCCTGGGCCGCAAACTCTCCTTCCGAGCTGGCAGCTCTGCTGGAGTCTTCATCCTCTTCCGACTCGGCGATGGAGAGGAAGGGAGCGGAAGTCTTTCCCTCAGGCTCCATGCAGTTTTCTCGCGTCATGTCCCGGCACAAGTCCATAGGTATCAAAAGCATCTGCTTCAACGCGCCTCTGACTTCTCCTCAGTCAGCGCCTCTCGTCGCTTGGATACCAGTAGCCTCGATCAAGGTCCTGCCTCCTGCCTCCTGCCTCCTGCCTCCTGCCTCCTGCCTCCTGCCTCCTGCCTCCTTCTTTCTTCTTTCACTGTTGTCTATGTTTGTCCTGTTTGTCCTGTTTGATTCTCGAGCTGAAGTTTTCATTCCCTCAGAGTGCCTGCAAGAACTCGCGTCGATCGACATGAGATACATCACAAGGTTTCTACTCCACCTTTACCACCACCACCACCACCACCACCTCCTCCTCCTCCTCCTCCTCCTCCTCCTCCTCCATTTCTCCTTCAGCTCGTTCTCTTGCTACACCTTCTGCTCCACCCTCCTGATCTTCTCGTCCAGAGAGACTCTGGAGCTCTTGGAGCCGCTTGTCAACTCGCAAACCTTCACGAGCTCGCTCTACGGCATGCAGCAGGAGGACTTCTCCCCAGGAAGCAGCTGGGAATCGCACGACGACGTGGGCAAGTTGCTGTGCAGGACGGTGCTGTCCATGTACCGCTACGCGTCTGCCCTTGCTGGGATCCACGGGGAGCATGCGGAGCTGAAGAGAAAGCAGGACGCGATCATCTCGTTGACCGATGAGATCAGGAGGTGGGAGAAGAAACTGCAGCAGAAGCAGCAGAACTTGGACGTGCAGATGGAGCAGAAGCTGCGGCTGATGGCGGACAGCCTGAGGCTGAGGAACGTCATCAGGATGGGGAGCGAAGCGATCAAGTTCCTGCGGGACCACAGCGCTGACTGGATCCGGTCGGACGAGGACAAGGAGAAGAAGATCGGAGAAATCGCAGTGGAAGCAAGCTGCCTCTCCTGCTTCATGACTTACGGGGGCATCCTCCGCTCCTCCCTGCGGTCAGAGCTGAACAGGATCGTGCTGAGTGACGCAGTGAACAGAGGACTGTGGAGGAGCAGCAGGCAGCTGGAGGTGCAGGAGGTGCTGCTGGATGACTTCGATCGCTTCCTCTGGAGAGTTCGACTGGACGACGAACAGCTCATCGACTCTGCCTGCATCCTAGTCTTCTCCTCGTCTATCCCCCTCGTCCTCGACCCTCACGGCATCGCTGAGAAGTGGATCGTAGACGCCACCAGCTCCTTCAGCTCTCTCCGTCCTGTCTCAGCCGGACGACCTCAGTCAGATTTTCTCGTCTTCGAGGAGAAGAGAGAGAATTCCTCCGTCGCTCACAGTGCTGAGGTCTTGCAGGAGCTCCGAGCTCGAGAGCCCCCACAGAGCAAGTGGATCTTCACGTCCAATTGGCAGGAGGAGGAGGAGGAGAAGGGCATGTCTAGCAATCCTCGGGACCGCAACGCCAGCGGCTTCTGCCGGGCGAGCATGGAAGACCTCCCCTTCTTCTTTCGCATGCTCGCGCTGGCATGCGAGACCGGTCTGGTGCTGCTGGTGAAGGGGGTCCGGGACCTGATGGCCCTCAGGAGCCTCCCAGCTGAAGTCTTGATATCCCCGCAGGAGAGGAGGAGGAACAAGGAGAAGTTCTCGAGCTTCCGCTACTTCGACCCCGTCCAGCGTAAAGAGAAGACCGTCAGCGTCCATCACGATTTCCGCATCCTCCTCCTCAGCTCTGCTGCGGATGCTCCGACTTCACTCAAGAGCTTCCCGCTCCTCAACGTCGTCGACTTCTCCATCAGCTCTGCTGGGCTGGAGCACCTCCTGCTGGATCGAGCAGTCAGCCTGGAGAGGATGGAGTTGTGGGAGGAGAAGCTGCAGTTGTCCATGGACATTGGCAAGGCCTCCACTGCCCTCAAGGTCAGCCTGATGCCATTCCCTCCTCTTCATTTCCTACCTGCTGCTGGTGCTGCTGCTGCTGCTGGTGCTGGTGCTGCTGCTGCTGGTGCTGCTGCTGCTGCTGCTGCTGCTGCTGGTGCTGGTGCTGGTGCTGCTGCTGCTGCTGCCGCCGCCGCCGCCGCCTCTTCTTGTTCCCAACCTCGACCTCTAACTCTACCTCCATTTTTATCTCATCAACAACCACCTTCACCTCTTCTCTACACTGTTCACTCGCTTCTGTTCCTGCTCCCGTTGTTTGTCCTCTTCTCCTTGCTGACGAACCTTGCAGGTGTTGGACGGAGACATCTTGTCCTTCCTGGCGGGGTCGGACGGAGTTCTGCTCACCGACACCGCCAACCTGAGCGTCATCTCCTCCTTCCGCAAGCGTGAAGTCGATCTCAAGTCCAACCTGGCCATCCAGCAGGACCGCATCAAAATCCTGGACGCTGAATGCCAGAGATTTGCAGAGCTTGCAAGGGTGGGTGTGGACATGTACAATCTGACGTCAACCCTTGACGCGTTCACGCAAGAGAGCATCGTTGTCTCCATTCACTTCCTAGCCATCACCTTGAAGGATTGCATGCAGAGCTCCTATCTTCCCAAGGGCCCGAACCGCCATATCCAGTCTGTCACCAACTATCGCTCCGAGCTCCACAACAGGATCGTGCTGGGCCTCGACGCAGACATGAAGTGGCTCTTCACGTGCTACTTCGCCCTCTGGTCCCTCGTCAACTCTGGCGTCCTCCTGCAGTCTGAGTTCCTGCCCTTGGTCGCCCTCCTTTCGGGCAGGCCGCTGCCCGGAGGGTCCGACGAGAGCTCGGCTGCCCAGTCCTCCCCCTACGTCAAGGGAGGGGACAAGAAGGCCAACATCAAGTCTCCCACAAGAGGAACCCCCTCGTCCTCCTCCTCCTCCAGGCCCAGGAGGCTCAGAGGCATCGGCCAGCACTTCGGGGACTCGGACTTCTCGGAGCAGCCCGAGCACATGAAGTGGCTGCCAGCCAGCGCGTGGGGGGAGATCGTGAGAGTTTCTCAGCTCTGGCCGCCTCTGCGGGGGCTGCCGGGGATGATGGCGCGCGAGACAGACCCGTTCCGGTCAGACTGGCGCGCCCTGTACTTCAAGGAGCATCCGGAGACGATGATGGCGGAGGTAGCAGGGCTGCTGTCGGTGGACGAGGAGCCGAACAAGGAGAGGAGGAAGATGCGCATCTGTGACCACATGCTGGTCATCAACGCCCTCCGCCCTGACCGCAGACATTCTCTCCTCGAGCACGTGATCGCCGAGGTCCTTGGCCCGGAGTACCTCCCCTCCAGGAGGAGCGACTGGGAGACGATCTTCTCCGACAAGACCTGCTCCAACGTCCCTGTCCTCTGCCTTGCCAGCCCGCAGGAGCTGATCAACCTGCCGCAGAGGCTGCAGCTCCTGGCCAGCGCCAACAGGATAGTCATGCGCACGAGGAGCATCTCGGACTACTCCAGCAGGAAGCAGCTTCTGCGAGAGGTGACGGAGGGGATGGAGAGCGGGAGCTGGCTGGCGATTTGCTTCATCCCCGTCACTGAGAGCAACGTAGAGGCGATCAACAGCATCCTGTCCTTTGTCCTCCTGAGGAGAGTCATTCACAAAGACTTCCGACTGTGGCTGGTAGTTGACGACATGTCTGCCATCCCCGCCCGCACGGCTCAGAATTGCTTCAAGCTCCGCGCCCACGACAACATTAACGATGGAGTTTACGAAGCGGCGCTGGAGGTGGCGCAGACGATCAAGGACGAGTACGTGCAGGCAGGGAGGGGGAAGACGGACTTGGAGGTGGGGAGATTCTTTCTTTCGCTCTGCATCTTCCATGCTATCCTGCACGAGCGGTTGAAGCATGCCGGAGGATGGTTCAGCGGGCAGACAGTCTACGAGGACTTCGAGAACGCCGCGAGGTCTCTCTACAACTGGCTGCAGTCGACCATCATGCAAGGCCTGCAGGTTGAGTGGCGGCACGTTCGCTCCCTGGTCGCCATCGAGTACGAGGGTCAGGCAGGCAGCAGCTTCGACGCTCGAGTCCTCGCAGCGCTCATCAACCGCTGCTTCCATCGCGGCATCCTCAACCCTAAGCACGAGATCCTCCCCGGACTCTCTATCCCCTCCTGCGGCAGCGCCAGTGCCCTAGTGAAGGGGCTCAAGAGCATGGCGGGGAAGAGCAAGGTCGAGCTGCTGTGGCTCGACCGCCAGCAGTCTCTCCGTGACATCCTCGAGCTGGACGACGAAGTTCTCTCCCTCATCTACTCCATCCACCACGTTGAGGGCTCTTCCAGCTCGGACCCAGCTCAGGGAGATATTCCGCCCATCTTCAGCACCCCCAAGAGCGTGTCTCCAGCTGCCCCCAAGCTGTCCCGCAAGGACGTGACCCGCCAGTCCTCTTTCCTCCAGCCCCCCGACAAGGGCAAGAAGGTCGCCCAACCGCAGGCGTCGCAGCCCCAGGAGATACAGCTCCCCGTGCGCGAAAGGTCCGAGCTGGACAGCAAGCTGATCGTGCTGGTGGGCTCAACATGCCCCTTCCTCATCTCTGACGAGCGTCCAGGTGAAGGCGGTGCTCGAGCAGCTGCCCAGCTCGATCGAGGGCTCCTTGCTCGAGCAGGTGGCGGCGAGTGACGAAGTCCTCAAGCAGCACCTGAGACAGGAGGTGGACGCGTACAACAAACTCAACTCCTACCTACGGTCACCTACTCCTCCTCCTCTTCCTTTTCCACCTCCTCCGCTCCTCCTCCCTCACTCCTTGTTGCTTCTCCTTCCAAACTCTTCCCCTTCTCCTCCGTCTGTCCGCCTCCTTCTCACCTACACCCTACAGGCTAACTTTGACGAGCACTCTTGGGTCGCTACTTGGAGCTACTGGGGTACAGCGGGAGGAAGTGAGGAGGGAGGAGCAGGACCTTCTCAGGCAACTCCCTCCCTCCTGCCTCATCCTCCACGTGCTAACCGATGATGTTGATGGCCAGGTGCCTCCAAAGTGAGAAGACCCCAGCAGACTGGCAGCAGAAGTCTTGGAGAGTCCGCAAGCTCGACGCTTGGTTGAACCTTCTACGCTCAGCTCAAACCCAGCTGCAAACTTGGTGTCAGCTGGGGTACTGCAAGTGCTACTCCCTCGCTCCCCTGCTCTTCCCGCAGGTTCAAATCAACTCTGAAACTGAAAGCTTCCAACCCACCTCTCCCTCCTTTCCCTCATCCTCTCGCCTCCCTCCTGCTTGTCCCTCCCTTCCCATCGAGATCCCTTGTACTGTTCAAACACAGTTTTGCTGACGCTTCTTTCTCCTCTCCTCTCCTCCTCTGGGTGTTCCTCGTCTGCCGCCTCCCTCTCCGCTCTCCGTCAAGGCTTTCTTCGCGGCCCTCAAGACCTCTATCTTCCGCAAGTGCATCCTCACGAGGTTTGCCTGACGTCAAGTGAGCTGGGAAATGACGAGGCCGAGCAGTGTGGAGGCAGTCCCTTTGGAGGAGGCGCGAGTGCATCTGATCCCGACCAAGAAGACGAGCACAGACGAGATCTCTGACAACATCGCTAGTCTCGGCACCACAGCCTTCGTCCGAGGAGTAGAGCTCCTTGGGTAACAACCTCTCCTCATCCCGCACCTTCCTCTTCTCTTTCCCCTTATCGTTCTCCTCCTCCTCCTCCTCCTCCTCCTTCAACTCCTTTTTCCCTTCCTTCTCTTCTCCCCCTCTCCCTGCTATGCCTCCTCCACTCTATCCGCACTTCTGCTCCTCTCATCTTACCCGCAGAGCTTCTGTCGAGCTTCCCAGGCTGGTGCTGAGCGAGAGCAGCTCCGTCACCAACCTGCTCCCCATCTTGCAAGTTCGCAACGTCAGAACGGCGTCGACGTCAGCGGAGCTCGGCTACGAGTGCCCCTGCTTCACTCTCGGTAGGTGGACACGACGAGTCAACCTTGGGAAGGAGGTGGCTACCTCAGCCCCCTCGCAGTCAGACCTCGACCCTCGTGTCTCCGACAGGTACTCGTTGCTCGCTGCTGTGAGGGTTGTGATGACGTGGCAGCGGCGGGTTCATCGGAGTTCATGTCATCCTTCCCCTTGAAAACTCCGACGTGCAGCGATGGGTCTTGCGCGGCATTCGCGCACAGCTTGTTCAGCAAGGTAAGGAGGAGGAGGGGGGAAGGGAGGGAGGGAGGAGTGTGACACTTAATGCAGGTGATTCCGAGGATGGAGCCTGAAACTAGATAGAAGAGCATGGTAGTGAGGATATGAGAAGGAGGATAGTAAAATCTTGCTCAGTGAGCTTCATAAGCTCGTAGTTATCTTAGTCTTTCTACATGCTCTTTGACGTCTAGACACATCTCCCCTTGTCGTCACCGATGTCTCTTTCCCTTCTACTTCCATAAGCGGCTGAACAATCAAAGTCAGTTCGCTCCCTCGCTCGCTCTCGCGTGCTACCTGAACGCCTCCTGGATCACTCGCCCGTTAAGAGGCTGCACAGGCCTCGCGATGTCCCCGAGCGCGAGCTGGAATGCAGCGAGGTGATCGCTCTGGATCGGAACTGCGTTCTGCATGACCAGCCACAGCACTCCTTCCTCGCAGGGCGGCAGCGTCTGCGATCCCCTGTACTTGAAGTAGGAGCGGAAGTTGGCCCGAGACGTTGGCTCTAGGAAGTTCTGCACGATGGCGTCGCCGGCTGACCCCGCGAAGACGCAGGGAGGAGTCTTGCACGCGTCCATGGGATCGTACTCGTACGTGAGCTTGTGGAACCTCGATGCGCCGGCTGTCTGGTACAGCACTGTACGAGCCATGGACGCAAAGTTTACCGTTCGCTGGCAATGTTTGCCCTCCCCCATGCAGGGGATCGCCAGGTACAACTTCTCCATGAACTCGGGAGAGATGAGAGGATGCTCCTGATACAAGACAGAGACGACAAGAGAGGTGTAAGGTGAGCTCGGCGACACGGGATAATGCACAAACTGCTGCTCCATCCCAAACGTGACACCGTCGATAGTGTGCTCAGCGGGTGTCTTGAGGAGGAAGTGATCGAGCTTGTAAGTCTGACCTCCGTAATCCATGTGAGCCTGGAGCTCCCTCATGTCAAACTTGTTCCCATTCACAAACAGCTTGACATTCGGCTCTCCGGTCACTTGGTCTGTGCCAGGAGTTTTCATGCGATACACGCCACCATCGTTGAGAGAAATCCATCCAATGGGAGGAAGTTGCTCTCTCACAACATTTCCGTCCAGTCCATCTTCAATCGCTACTGGCGACTGCTCTGCCATGGGCAAGCTTCCATCGCATTTCTCTGCATTGCTGTACCCAAGATCCTTGAAGTACTCGAGGGCGGTAGTTCTTTTCGTGAGAAGCGTCGCGTCGCGGTCGTCATCGCCGGAGCTGAGACGAGACAGGATCAAGAGGATGGGGAGAGAGAGGAGGAGGGAGGCGCCCAGCAGAAGCCGCGAGCTTCTGTGTCGCAGCTGCATTGGTACTGCCCTCATGCCATGCCCCTTCGCTCGACTTGAACAGTGAGGGGATGAGGGCCACATTCGATGTGAGTGAGGGCGATGATCCACTCAGTGAGGGGATGTGGGGCTATGAGAAATGAGGGGGATGAATACTGACTGTCGATCGCCACCAATGGAAGAACTAGACGAGCTGATGGAGGAGGAGAAGATCCATGTAAGAGGAGAGGAGAGGGGAGAGGGAGGGAGGGAGGGAGGAGGAGAGAGAGAGAGAGAGGGAGAGGGAGAGAGAGGGAGAGGGAGGGAGGGAGGGAGGAGAGAGAGACAAGGGAGAGAGACAGGGGAGAGAGAAAGAGGAGAGGGAGAAGGAGAGGAGAGGGAGGAGGACGGAGGAGAGAAGACGGGGGAGGAAACGGAGAGTAGAGGAGAGGATAGTGAGGAGAAGAGAAGAGAGGAGAGGGAGGGGAGGAAAGTGAGGGGAAAGGTGGAGAGGAGAGGAGGAACAAGGGAGAAAGGCAGGGACATCGGGTTACAGGTCCAAATTCATCAGTAAAGCAATGAGGGCATAAGGGTACAAAAGAAGAAGCTGACAAATACGACGAGTCGTAATATGCAATAGAAGTCAGAGTTATCCAACATGTTAGTAATTGATAGTAGGAGGGTTGGTTGAAGGAAGAGAACTATCAATTTATGTATTTGAAAATGTATTTCACCGACAGAATTACAAGAATATCACAACAATAGGAGCTGGAAAGTTTGCGACTGTACACAGGTAGGAGCCCCAGGGGTCCATCAGACGCACCACTGAGAGTGAGCTCTAGCGCGATACATCAACCGACAGGAATCAAAGTCGCGCTTAAAAAAGTTCAGGTACGAAGACTTGACAACCCACCACAAGGCTAACGGTGACTGATCTGTTTCAAACAGATTTTCCTGGAGATTATGGACAGTAAAGAACGACATGAGGTTTGATTCTAGTCAAACCTTGTCTGCTTGGTTCGAATGCGTTGCCCAGGTTGTAAGAGAAGCGAAGCTTCTGCAGAAAGTGGACAATAGGGTGATGTTTGTCTTGGATGCTTTCTTCACCCCTCTCCCTTTGTGAATCAGAGCTCACTCGTCGCGTTCGACAGCACATCATCAAGTGTTATGATTCTTGGATAGAGCAAGGAGAGTTTTACATCTGTCTAGAGCTATGTACAAACGGAGATCTCGCAGGGTCAATTGCTTTCTCTTTATCCTTTTGCATTGACAGTTGTCTTTACCTTGTAGAGTTATTCGGGAACAATCCCAGAACAATTCCAGGCTGAGACCAGCGATAGTATGGTTGTATTCTTATCAGGTTGAACATCGCCGCCTCTCTCAGCTCCTGCGGGCTGATGGAGCTGTTGCAGTTAGCAGACGCGCTTCGACACATGAAGCAGAACCACATGATGCACCGGGACGTGAAGGTGAGCAGGCCTACCGCTGGTTTCTGTGTGACATGCTGGCAGCCTGCCAACGTCTTTCTAGGAGAGGGAGGAAACTTGAAGCTAGGAGATCTCGGCTTGGGTCGGCTCTTCAGCTCTCGAACACTGGAGTGCACAACAGTAAGTCTCCTTGTCGATCCTCCTCGTGTCTCAGTCTGCCATTGTGGCATGGCAGGTGGTTGGAACTCCTTACTACATGGCCCCTGAGGTCATGCAAGGATCGCCATACTCTTATCCGGCAAGTAGTTTTGGAGAACGAGGAGGAAGCAGGAGCAGGAGCAGGAGCAGGAGCAGGAGCAGGAGCAGGAGCAGGAGCAGGAGCAGGAGCAGGAGCAGGAGCAGGAGCAGGAGCAGGAGCAGGAGGGCGAGGGGGAGGAGGAGAGGGAGGAGGAGGAGGAGGCAGCTTTTGAGCAGGAGAAGCAGAAGGAGGCTGATCTTGCCTTGCAGGCCGATATCTGGTCGTTGGGCTGTGTAATATATGAACTCTGCAATCTTGTATTGCGACTTGACAGTGCTGGCGAGGAGCGCTTACGTTTGCTGAAAAAGGCGTCACCGTTCTGGGAGAAGAATGTGAATCTGTATGCGTTGAGAATGAGAATATGCAAAGGTGAGCTCGGCGGCATCAGATCTGGTGGCTCAGGGAAGGATGCAGGTGTTTATGCGCCTGTGGATGAGATCTATGGGGGGCCTATTCGAGCGCTAGTGAGCGCCATGGTGAATCTCGACACGGCTGCACGCCCAGACGTTGATCAGGTATCGATGATACCTCAGGATAACGCGCTCAAAACAGCTACAGGTGCGGCAGGTATGCTGGGAGAACGCGGTCGCGCTGCGGGCGGAGCTACCGGAGCACATGCAGCCTACATGATGGTTTCATTGCTGATGCTCAATCGGTCTCGATTGAACTCTTCCATCCTCACTCTTCTCCGCCACTGTTGCGATCAGCGCTCGAGTTCCGTATCCCTTCGCCATGGTCCCTCGCGTCATGGGAGCGTAGCAGGTCCAGGAGAAGGTCTTGGTTCCCGCCTTCCGATCTCCTTTCGCTTGCGCCTCCGTCACCTGCCGCAGCCTTCAACTCAGGCAGCGCGACTCCAGCATGGCTCCCCACCCACAGAAAGGATCCGTCCCACAGGATCGCTGGACTGTCCAGTCCCTTGGCGATGAAATCTTGCTGAGCTCGCTGCTCCCACGTCAGAGAGAGACGTGACGACAGCAGGCGGGTACGCTGATGGACTTGTCCTGGAGAAAGTGCTCGCCCAGGGGAGGACAGACGAGCTCTGCTAACCCGCTGGCTCCATCGGCTGCGTGAGAGAGCAGCGTCAGGAGATACCAGCAGAGGAGAGACACGCGAGAGGAGAGAATGAGCGAGGAGAGGAGAGAGAGCGGAGGAAGGTGGTGTTTCTACCTATCAACTTGCACATCTTGATGGAGTCGGAGTCGACAAAGATAAGTCGCTGCATAGCAAAGATCGTGCAACCCACGTTGATGACCTCAAAGTTGAGCTGCAAGCGCGTCAAAGAGCGATAGAGGCAGGAGGCTTGACCCTGAAGATTCTCAGCAGTGATCCTGATCCCTTTGAGATCTCTACGACGGGCCCTCGCATGAACATGCAGAACACGCGCTCCTCGCTGCAGCAGATGCTGCTTGCCGGGCTCCACTGCATCTCAACCTTCCATGCTCTGCGGGCCATGGGTCACGTCGAGCTGCCGACAAGCCAAGGGAGACCTGTAAAAGAAGTCCGACTTGTGCATCTCCGTAGGCCGATACCGGACAAACGATCGGTTGTTGTTAGCGAGGAAGAGGTTGCCTTCCCTTCCCGTCCCTCCGTCAGTTGTCAACCCCTCCAACTTCACTTGACCTGTCGAAGGAGAAGGAAAAAACCTTGAAGGGCTCGACAGACACCTCGACTCAAACGTCACTCCCGCTCTGCTCCCTCTCCTCTCACTAGCTGCATGTCTCTACGATGTCTGCCGTCTTCGTCGCAGATGAAGAAGTGCAGGTTCAAGTCCGGGTTGACGAACCAAAACCTTCAACGCCATCAGGAGAGCAGAGGCAGCAGGTCTCGAGTCCACTTACTCCTTCATGATGAAGTTGTAGCTGCATGCAACCTCGCAAGGGATCTCAAACAGGAGCCGGCGGTTTGTAATCCATCCTACTCGACTCTCGAACGGCTCCACACATCGATCAAGGGAGTACCTGCTCGAAGATCATTCCTCTCAGCTCTCTTCCAGCTCTTACTGTCGAATCATCTTGTGCAGTCGGTCCATCTCTTCTTTCACTTCTTGTGAACTATCTTCTTCGGGATGCTCCTGCAAGTCTCTGAGCAAACTGACTTGTTCCCCCCTTCATGTACCTGCATCAACTTCTGCAGCTGCGCCTCCGCCTCCTTCACTGCCTCGAAGGCAAAGTCTCGATTACTATCGTCAACTCCATCGTCATCGCCATCGTCTTCGTCCTCAAAGTCTTCGGCAGCACGAAATTCGATCTGCATCTCGATGTTGCGAGGGGCCTGGAGCAGTAAGACGTCGCTGTCAAGGTCAAGCAGGGACAGGACTGAGCGCGCACAGGGTTGAAGTTCCATTCTCCGCTGGTGCATCCTGCCGTGGCGATGATGGCGCTGATGAAGGAAGAAGCGTCAAGGAAGATGATTGAGACGATCAGCTTGCTGCCTGTTGATGACGCGGCTGCTGTGATGATCTTCTTTGTAATAGAAAAGATTCGATGACGACGCTGATTGCTGTTCGCCTCGATCCGAAATGCTCGCAACAATCTGTCAAGAAGCCAGTCGGAGCCTGAGCCAGTAGAGGGCAGATGTCTTACCACCCAAGTGTTCTGCCATTGAATGATCTCCCTCCTCTCATTGCCGTCCATGTCCACGCTCATGAACTGAAAGTGATACCACTTGGAGGTCTCCCCCTCTCCTTTCACCTGTCACAGGTCAAGCTCGTTGCCGAACAAGCAGCTGGACACACCAGGTTACTCTCGATGATCATCTCGTTCTTCTCGTAGTCAAAGATGTGCACCAGCGCGAAATTTCCTTCTCTCAGCTTGAGCAGCACCTTGACGCTGCTGACCTGAGCTGTCTGCCAGGCCCTCACCCCCGTCACAAGCGCATTATCATCGCACCTTGGATACGTTGAGAGCATAACCCCATGCCCATTCCTGCAAAAGCCGTTCGCCGTTTGCTCTCAGAGGTCTGCTCTCCTTGTCTTGCAGCGATCCCACCATGTCGATGTTGAACTGCGACTAAGCTCAGCAAGAGGAGCGATGGCAGCACGTGAGTATACGAAAGTGAAAGTTGTGTTCTTGTTAGTCTGTTGCTTGGTGTTGCTTGCTCTTATCACTGTGTTGTCTAGCTCGTCCTCGAAGATGTCGATGGACAGCAGCATTCGGCTGTTCCAGATCTCGAGCGTGTCCAAGCGGGAGGTGTCATTCAACATCAACCTGCCATGCTACGTCACATCAACGAGGACAAGACAGCCGACGGCTCGCCTCCCCAACTTCCAGATGAGCGCCTGAGCTCGATCCTGGTCTTCGCTAGGGAAGATGCGGGCGGCGGTGAGGGCGTCGACGGTGAGGTGCTCGTGAAGGGCCTCGAGGTCGATGCGGGAGGAGATGACCTTCTCTGACAGATCTTGCGCGCTCGCCTCGGAGAACTCATGCAAGAGCGCGGCTCCTCTCGCTGAGTTGATGAAGCTCTTGACCTCTGACGCTGTGTACCTCTTGGCTCGCGACTGCAAACACCCTTCTAGCGCACAAACTCGCCAGTCCTTCGCGTGTGCCCAGCAGGCGATCCATGCTCCCAACGCGCGGATGACGTCCTTCTTGACCAGCCACATCATCACTTTTCTCGTCTTCTTCCTCATCAAGCTCAATGACTGCGCGTTCTCCTTCCAGAACTCGAACGCGGAGTACATGGTCTCGTAGAACCAGGCATGCAGCTTCGTCCTCACTTGCCTCATGATTCGCCGCAAGTTCAGCTCCTCCCACGCGATCGTCCTCCAAGCTTGCATGGCCTTCGCCTTCATCCGGGCGTCGCACTTTTCCGACCATCTCCTCACAGCGTTGCGGATCCTCCTCTCTTCGCGCACTCGCTCTTCCCAACCTGGTTCAGGCGCGGGAGGAGGAGCAAGAGGGCGAGGAAGGTCTCTGACATGCACGGAGAGTTCCTGCGCTTCCTCCTCCCTCCTCCTCCCGCCATACCCCATCCCCCGCAGCACCTCCACCGCCCTGTCGGCCATGGCGGCCGGGTTGCAGTCAACGGCCAGCGGGCGACTGCATGGAGGGATGAAAGGTCCGGGTTGCTGTCCTTGTAGGGTTTGTACCGAAGACTCCTTTGAGTAAAAATAAGAACATGCTCCCGCGAAGATAAGCAGGTCCATGCGCTCAATCCTGTCCTCCTCCTCTCCTACCGCCACCTCCCCTCCCTCCCCTCCCTCCCCTCCTTCAACTCCTCCATCCTCTGCATTCTTCAATTCCACTACCTCTTCCTCCCCATCTTCGTCGCTGCTCTCGCTTGTGCTCTTGCTGCTCTTGTTGGTGTCAGTCTCGAGTGCCGCAGAAGACCAGAAAGGCGAAGTGCAACATGGCGGCGTTGCTCACATGGAAGAGACGCGAAAGACTCACGATAGAAGAAGCGAGACAGGAGGAGGGCGAGGGATTAGCGCAAGTTGCAGGATCTGCAGGCTAACATGGAAATCGGCGAACTTGTGGAGAGCACTTGCGTTTCAGACAGCAGGGGCAGTGGCTTCCCGTATCAATCTCGCATGGAGTTTTACCTGCAGGAAACATCGCATGCTCTTCCGCTTCTACCTCCGAATGTTTCAGCAGCTTCTTCCCAAGAAAGCTACAAAAGCAGAGAGCCAGCAAACATGGTGGGTGAGGATCGAGGAAAGAGACTTCACTTCAAAAGCTTCAGGAACGACGACACAGGAGGAGAGGAGACAGCAGGAAGAGAATTTTCGAAAAGAAAATGAGAGGAGGTCTGAATCGTAGAATACAGAATGCTATCCACAGTTGCTTGTGGTTTCTTTCCGCCACCAAGCAAGGCCATCTTCGCCGACATGGATTCTCTGAGAGGTAAGAAGAAAGATGATGAGAACACGAGGTCAAAGAGTGCAAAAGACGGCCTCACATCCTCTATCATACATTCCCGATGGAAGTCGATGACAGCAGAACGAGCCTGCGAAGTTTTTTCATAAGTGTTCAACATCCTTGTCAGGAGTTGATACACCTGCATCTTGTCTAATCTCCAATCATCGATGATGATCACCCCCCCGATTGCTACTTTGAAATAGACCGCTCTCAACACCTACTGCAAGCTTAGTGAAAGGTGCGCGCTCTGGTCGCATGCCTCAATCGTGGACTGGTACAGGTCCCCGTCTAATCTCAAAAGTGCGATGTTCTCTATGTTCTATGGAAAGGAGAACCATATGAGAGAGAAAAGCAAAAGAGACATCTGACCTGAATCCGATCTGTGTACATGGTGTCATGAAACCACCCCTTCACATACTCGACCTGCCGAGCATGTCAACGCCTTCGGTTGAACAGGAATTTTCTTACCTGCGAGCTAGCTAGGCCGAAGTCAGCGAGGTTGCTTGTTACTTTGTGAAGCGAAACTCTGAGATTGTCATAAGTGTGATGCCTGCAAGAAAGTTTAGGCCGGCCTTCACCATGCTGAAGAGTTTCCCATTACTGATCATTGTTGTCTGCCGGATAAAGTTCTGGGTCCGGTTTTGGGCAGCCCTCGAAGGAATCGACCACCCACACCTGATAGGTCTGAGAGAGGCATGAGAATTGAGGCACAGAGCAGAACCTTCCTGTCCCGTACTCCTCTCGCTCTCAGAATCGCTGCCATAAGGATGCAGCTGTGCTGCAAGTTAGCTCTCCAACAGTCCGCAAGCAAACTCTTGCCTTCCCCCTTGCCACACACCTGTCTCCATCAAGTCTCCCGGAACATCTCTGTCCAGCACCTGAACTCAACATTTCAGTCTGATTTCATACCGCACGATGATAAGTTTTCCTCCTTCACGAAGTTTTCAAGGTCATCAAGACCTTTTCTTCCCACCATGCTTCTTGCCACAACCTAACGCATTCCTATAAGAACTCATCACGTCTTCATGTTCAGCACGCACACCTTTGTCTCGCCAGGTCTGTCTTTTGCATAGATCGTATCGAGGAGGGCAGACTTGATCATGTGCAAGTACGCTTCCTCCACGCCTCCTCGTCCACCTCCTACCTCTTCCCCTGCCCAACGAGGAAGACAGCGCTTGCCATGATAACCAGGGTCGCACTCGCAGTGAGCTTCTCTCTCCCCATCCTCAACGCATTCTCCATGGTGACAAGTGACGCCACTACCGCCAGGACACTCGTATTGCTCGTCAACTACCCTGAACACTCGCGAGGTGACCGGGGTTAGGGGGCTGCCGTTTGCGTCCGAAACTCCTGCCGTTATGGTGCAATTTCCTGGAGAGATCTTGACATCGAGACGATGTTGACCATCCTGTATCGAGAACGGATTGCCTTCGTCAAAGGTGCACTGTCGGAATAGGAAGGGATCGTCGCGAGGATGAGTACAAGAAATTTCTACACATCCTCCGCTTCCCTGCGGCAGAACCCCTCCAAGATGAAAGAGGACAGGGAGGGTCTGCTGAGAGATATGTAGCTGATCATCTTCAGGTGACGTAAGGACGAAGTGAGGACCTCTGATCTGGCTGACCCGAGTGGATACCGTTGGAGAAACGGGCTCGTCCTTTGTTGACACCAGAGTCGCTGAGATGGTGAACTCGCCTTGATGAAGATTCCATGAGTTGAAAACTGTTGATTGGAGGACTCGGACGTCATCTCCTCGTCCGGGATAGCTCATAGTCAGCATGATCTCTCCATCCTCTGGCACTGTGAAGCCTCCTGACGTTTCCAGGATCACTTGAAACGGAGTGTGTCGGATCAGCTCCCCCTCCTTGGGAGCTACAATTCGAACCGCAAAGTGTGTTCCACCTCCGCTAACTTCGTTTTTGTCATCTGATGTCACGGTTGCCTCCCGCGTCTCCCGCTCGCTATCGTCTCTCACCACCGTTTGCCTCCACCCCTCTCTCTCTGGCTCTTGCTCGGCCTCTTCGGATGAGTATGAGTCTTGCAGGTTCACCTTGATCTTCGCGCTTCCGGGTCCCCTTGTCTTGGCCTTCCATTGAGCGCTGGTGAATCCGAGGAGGAGGAGGAGGAGGAGCAGCAGCATAGCAGGTGAGCGCATTGTGAGCGGACCTGAGAGCATGGACTGCACCTCAAGACCGGTATAGTATAATGGCAGGCCCCGGGCGGGCCGCCGCTCGGGCCGGGCCCGGGCCCTGATCGGATGATTGTCCGGCGAGGCTCAGCGGCTCGGACAGTGGTCGTTTTCAACTTCGGCAACGGTTGTCCGCGTGTGTGACTCAGTGAGTGAGACTCTGAGGGTGGGAAACAAAGCCTGTTCATCAACTGAAACATCGCGAGCCTGAGCGTCACGTATCATGAGTCATTCACGTTGTAGGCTTTAATTCAACCGCCGGTCACCGGCGTGACCGTACGGTTGTCCTCGTCCGAAGCATATGATAGTTTTAATTCAACCGTGACGGTTGTAGCCCTCGTATTTGGGCTTCAGTGGTGACCCGGGGCCCGGGCATAGCGTTGGCCCATCTTGTTACAACTATCGGAAGGTCGATGTGATATCTGCGTGACTTTGAAGTTCACGGCTGATTTTTAAAACTTCACTTTGAGAGGGACTTGTGCTCCGTCGGTTATGGGCATCGAGCCGGCCGCCGTGCCAGGTTCCGACGGTCACAGGTCACGGTACGGTACGGTAACCCTCTCGAGCCCCTCCTGACGGGTTCATCGGAATAGGCAACAGGGGCTAGGGTGGTGGCTGGGCCAGAAAATGTCCTTGGAGAGGCCTGGAAAGGGGGTAGGGGTTATAAGCCATGGGTGATGATGTCCGAGGTACCAAAGGTTTTTAACGTGAGAGGCTCAAGTACGAGGGTATAGCAAATTATCCCTCACAAGAATAGAGCAAGTAATGGAGAAGAGGGGTAGGGGTACTGGAATAGAGGATATGCATCACATCCGGGGGTACAAGATTTGACAGCGTCGCTGTCACATAGGGTACAAATGATCACTAGCCGCTGAGCTCACGAAGGCCTTCTTCGTATCGAGTTCATGTCGTACAGAAGCAAGATGCTTACTTCATTTTTTAATCGACAACCAGCAACATGCCTCTCATGATGCCATGAGCTTGCATGGCAACAGGAATCTCATCAATCTTGTCAACATTCAAGCTTGAATCTCTCTTCGAGAGTGATGCCAAACTCCAACCCACTTTCCAACATCTAACAACCCTCAACCTCGAAGAAGACCAAAGATGTTTATACAAGCTTCGCGAACAACTGACTGATTGGGAAAACGAGCTCCTCGACGAGGGTGGATTGTATGAAAAACAATCATTACAAGAGAAACAACTTGATCAATTCATACAGAAAAGTTTGAGGTCCCTGAGTCACAAACAACAACCAAGTAATTCAAATGCGATTACTTTTCTCAGGAGATCATTTGGCAGTGACCATGAGACATGCGATAGATTTGCTCTGCACTCACAGATCATTAAGCAACTGAAGAGGTCGAATGACATACTCCAGCTTCGACAATTCTCTGTCAAAGATGCATTCCACTTCGTCTCACTCTTGCATAATGCTGTGGACAAACTTGTGATTATAACTTGCCATGTTTCCAATCTATGCTAAGACTTTCCACAGGTTTGTGTCCTGTTCCATGGAGAGGAATCCTTCGATCAAGTGTTGCTGCGGGACTTCTCGAGACTGGCTCTTGACATCGATGGCGACATGCATGAACAAGTTGTGTTTGCAATCGTGCCAGTCAAGTCGCACATTACTGTGAGATCTTTTCCTACAACGTGAATAGATATCAACCTGGAACAATTCTGCAGAGAGAATGGGCTGAGAGTGTGGGCCAACTGAAGAAGTTGAAGGTTCCCCATGTGCAAGTGAGTTGCCGGAGTGAAATCCCATATCAAGTCACCTTGCAGAGTCTAATCTTTTTGCTTTCAGTGTTACCATCAGCAAAAGAAGGTACCGTTCTACGCTGGCTCTGAACACTACAGCATGTTTCAAAGGGGCATCGTCGTAAATCAGGTTAAAAGGGTAAGCTGAAACAAATCCGAGCGTGGAATGCCTTTTGATTTTCCTTGTTGCGCAGGCTCTCAAATACATCGGTGATTCACCTATCTTATGAATGCGAACTCGTCTGATGTAAACTTGCAGCCTTCAGGGACAAGACAGTGACCAAAAGGGGGGAACCCCCAGTTTCTCTCAGAAGAGAAGCCATCTTGCGAGCGGCAAGCAGGTTTTGAACTTGCACAGAAGAAGTCGATGTGCAAACTATTCTTTAAAGAATTCGAGCCTCTTTCTCCACCCCCCCCCTGCCGCTGGCCCACCCTTACCCCATCCTGATTCTTGCCATGTCTCCCTCTATGTCTTGTATGTCATCAATCTTTCATGCTACCATAAATGTCTCTCCTTGAGCCCCTACATCGTTGCTACTGCAAATCACTGCCATTGCTCAAGCCGAACTCCTCTTGCCTTATAGGTTGCTTGTTGATAGCTCAGACAACAACTTGTTCAGCCTCTGTGAGAGTATTAGAAGGAAGAGTACACCAGTAATGCAAGCAAGCACGGCTTTCTTACCAGGTGAGTGATCTTGTTCTGTTCTGCAGCTCCAGTTTTCAGCTGAGGTACATCCAACATGTGAACAATATGTACTGAAGGTGGCAACAAAATACGACCTCTTCATCTGGGGCGTTGTTGACCCGCATCTTCAAGATCTGCAGCATTTCCTCCGCAGACTTTCCCGTCGCACAGACAATGTACCTACAATGCATCAGTTCTTCCTCACCATCTCGACGCAGGCCGCACCGGAATCCCATCCTAGCCTCATACTCCGCGTTCCCCTTCATCATCGCACGCGCGATGTCATTTGAGGCAGAATCCATCCCTTTCTGCTCATTCGATGCCCATTTCTGCCAGAGCATGATCAATCACTCTATTGACATGCCTACAGCCTCTCCTCACCCCTCCATGCTGCTCTGCTCCCTTCTTGTCCCCGATTCTCGGATGCGCTTCGAACGCCTCGAGGATATCTTCTCTCGAGCTCCCCGACCAAATCCGATCGGATGTTAACTTCATGTCATCAGGGGATGAAAAGGGTCGGCTCTCGGTCATCAACTGCCACACTTGCGTAAGAAGATATTCTCCATGTTGATGGCAGGGAAGACGTGAAGTAGAGCCTTGACATAGCAGACAGTGACAGGAAGTGTTATTGAGAAACAACAGACTAGCGAGAGAGACGAGAAGGAAGATGATGAAACAAGAGAATTTTCTCACTCGTGCATATCTGGAGCTCCCACAGCATCCTTTGAACGCCTCTTCCGCCTCCTTTCTGCTCATCCTGTTCACTCGCTCCATGCTTTTCATCTCTGATGAAGTGAACCACACAGCTGGTAGACCAAAGTCAGCCATGAAACCGTACATGTAACCGTCGTCACCTTGTGAAATAACGTAACCACGGTTTCCGGCAGACCAATGGTACGGTCAAATACGTGGTCAAACGCGGTATTGAGAGGGGTAGGGTATTAATCGTATCTGAGGTAGGTTCTCAGTGGTCTATGGCACCGGTGGTGGTCTTTAAAGTAGAAAATGGGCTTTCCTATTGGGTGGGGTGTTACCCGACGGAGATGGTGCAGCCCAGGTGGGTGTGCTAACGTTTTAGGTGGGTAGGGGGTAGTATCAGGTGGGTCAACTGTGGGGTATAAGATTCCATAATGGGTAGAGGCCAATCTTCATATTTTGCCTAGGCATATCAGTGGGGTCAAGGATGTGAACAATAGGGGTACTACATCAATTACTAGGGGTACGATTCGACAAGCACGGGTGCTTATTTCTTCAGTGTAGGTAGGGGTGAGGGATTGACCGCCCTTCGTTTAGAATTGGCGGGAGAGGTGAGGGGTAGGTAAAGGGGGTAACTCGATGAAATGGAGGGGTATAGATATGGCAATGTCTTTGTTGGAAGTGAAAAAGGTGGGTACAGATGGTATCAAGAGGGGGTAGTGTTTTTCTGTCTGTGGTAGTGAATACAATATTAGGGGTGGCAGGAGGCTGAAGGGTAGTGGAAAGGTGATAAGCGCGCATGGAACTGCGGAAAGATGGCGGGAATGGGAGGAAGTGAGGGAGAAGGGAGGCGAAGGGAGGTTGTGATAGGGCAGAAGAGTGATTAAGAAGGGACAAACAAGATTGAGATAAGTCAGTGAACGAGAATTTACAGGATTCAATACGAGGACAGGACTAATTTTGCAGTGGAGAGCTAAGCAAGAAACAGCAAGTGGAGGAGAGAGTGAAAAGAGAAGAAGAGACGCGGAAATAAGGAGGTGAGATGATTCGGAGACGAGTTGAAGTTCGAATGAAGCAATGTTAAACGAAGAGAAGATAAAGAGGAAGGAAGAAAGGATGGTCAGCGAAATGGAGGAAGAAACATCCATAGACAGGAATCTGATGAGATAGACTGTGGATTTCCGAGAGAGCCGCAATAGGCAGAGGCCAGTAATTTTGATGCACGCTATTATGGTTTAAATTTGTCCACGGTGGGTAGCAGGCTTGGTGTTCTTGGAGGGCCTGGGAAAGAGGAACGTCGGCAGGGTGCAAATCAAGCAGACTGGAGTTGTGCAATTTTTCGTTTCTATGAACTTGATATAGATGAAAGGAATCAGATGAAGGGGATTTTTAACACTCTTCTTGTTTAACAGCCGAATATCCAAGTCGAAATGCTGGATAATCCTTAGATTTCCGTCCAAAATAATTGTTTGCTCGGTTCCAGCAACTCCCAATCGAAATGGCTTTGTCCCCACAGAAACGTGCTGTTGAAGACACATACGAACTTTTTGAAATTTCATCAGCAGAGACACAATCGCCGACAAAAAAGTATGTATTTCCCCCTCTACGGACGAAAGATTAACACTCGATTATTAGGATAAAACAAGAGATATCAAGTAAGGGGAAAAATCCCGGCAGTGGTGTGAAAGGGAGGATAAACTCCATCAAGGACTTTGTCTCAGCTGAAAATGTTCCGCCATCAATGCAGAAGCCTGTAAAAGCAAAATCCCAAAGTGACGTAATGCAAGATGACTTGAAATCTAAACCAGCACCCAGAAAGAAAACCTCTCAAAGTGTCTTGAAAGAGTTCCAAAGAGAAGTTAAGAAACGCGGGGGACCGGACGTGATAGAAGACGGATGGACAGTGCGGTCGCAGGAGGTTACCGCGGAGGACGGGTCAATCACCGAGACATTCTCGTACATATCTCCGACTCAGCAGGAATTTCCCACGAAAAAGGAAGTAATGAAGTACCTGGAGCTTCCACCGTTGAAGCCTAAACAAGCCAACGATACGGCGCCTGTGAACGATCCCCCACCAGCTCCTGAGGCGCTGGACACGAGTCAATCGGGCCCGAAATCAGCTCCGAGGAAGAGGACCTCTCAAAGTGTGCTAAGGGAGTTCCAAAGGGAAGTCAAGAAACGCGGGGGACCGGACGTGATAGAAGACGGATGGACAGTGCGGTCGCAGGAGGTTACCGCGGAGGACGGGTCAATCACCGAGACATTCTCGTACATATCTCCGACTCAGCAGGAATTTCCCACGAAAAAGGAAGTAATGAAGTACCTGGAGCTTCCACCGTTGAAGCCTAAACAAGCCAACGATACGGCGCCTGTGAACGATCCCCCACCAGCTCCTGAGGCGCTGGACACGAGTCAATCGGGCCCGAAATCAGCTCCGAGGAAGAGGACCTCTCAAAGTGTGCTAAGGGAGTTCCAAAGGGAAGTCAAGAAACGCGGGGGACCGGACGTGATAGAAGACGGATGGACAGTGCGGTCGCAGGAGGTTACCGCGGAGGACGGGTCAATCACCGAGACATTCTCGTACATATCTCCGACTCAGCAGGAATTCACGAAGAGAAGGGACGCCATTGAGTCGGTTTCGGAAGGTAACGAGAGCAAAAAGTCAAGAATTGAGCTCTTCCGAGAGGCGGAGCTGTTCCAAAGCAAGATCCCAGTAATGTACCAACGTGACTGAGATGGTTTGCTGATATGCCACAGGTGCCATTCATTACCAAGTCTGGAAATTTGACAGTGCAGGCATTGGGAACCATTATTGACGACAAAATTTCCCCATTATTTCATGACAGCAATATCTTGTATCCCACGGGATTCCAATCGGAATATTTGGATGAGGAGCTTGATTTGCACTTCCAAAATTGTGTTAGTGCTGAAAAAAATTCAGATGGTATCCTTATTCCTTTGTTTGAGGTGATTTTATTTCGTCATTCCTCGGTAATTTTGACCGTTACCCTTCAAAACAGGTACAGGTACCCAAAAGAAACCTCTCATTCAAAGGGAAATCACCGCAAGATGCCTGGAAGCAAGTCAAGAATCATTTAGTTGAAAACGGAACCCAGGAAGAGAAGCTGCATGTCAATAAGTGGGACACGAAGAGTTTGGGACTTCGATTTGGTTTGGCTTTAAAGGAAGTGAGAAGGATATTGGAGGGCCTCCCGGATGTTCTTGAATGCTCCAAATACAAATTTACAGGAGAAGAACCGCCGAAGAAGAAGCCTTCTTCCACTGAGTCTCCAGCGAAGGCAACGAACTCGGCCAAGAAATCGAAAGGAAAGAAGCAGGAGAAATTTGAGCTTCCTACAACTGACCCAGCTTTGAAGAAGCTGATGACTTCGGGATACAGCCTCTTTGCAAAAAAACGCCGAGCAGCCGTCAAGTCCGAGCATCCAGATTCAGCAGAGAAACCGACACTTCTACGCAAAATTCTGAAGCAGAAATATGCAGAATTGCCTCAATCTGAACGACAGAAATACGAGAAACAAGCATTTAGGATCAACAAGAAGAAGCTTGGTTCCAAGGCTGTGATGAAGAAGGTTGAGGAGGCACAGAAAGCTCAAAGTGCTGCCAACGATAAAGAGCAAGCGAATGAAAATGATCTGAGCGAATGGCGTACTGACAACCAGCACGTTGGAAAACCCTTCCGAAGATTCATTTATGACAGAAAGAGTCGGATCGTTGATGCAGCAGATGGAGTAGTGATAGGATGGCTGCCTGCGGAAGAATCAGATTACACCTCTGAAGTTACCGGGGAACCTTCTTCGATCTGGCGATTGAGGTATGATGACGATGCTATGGGAAGTGAAGATCTGGAAGAGCCTGACGTGATCGAAGCCATCAAGCTGTATGACGAGGAAGTGCCAGAAACAGTTCGCGAGAAATACGATAAACGAAAGCAGAAGGTGGAGATGAAGAAAGAGAAGAAAGAGAAGCGTAAGATACAGCTTCAGGGGAAGATGGCATTCAAACTCGAGAAGGAGAAAATGAAATCTCTTCGCCAGAAGGTCAAGGATGAACAGAAGCAAAAGAAAGAAATTCTTTCCATGAAACATGATGAATCAAAGAAGCTAGATGAATCGCTACATCTCATCAGCATCGGGCCAGATAAGGGCCAGGTTGCGAGCTCAGTGAAGAAGCCAGCAGGTTCTGCTGATATTTTACCGATCGCGGGATGGGAGGAAGACTTCTTTTGCATCTACCAATTCATTCACGACCTCGCTGCTCCTCTCGGAGCTTCAAAGATGTCGTACGATGACCTTCTGTCCTGCATTGTGGAGTCTGGAGGAGCTGAAGACAGGAGAGCTCGAGACAACGTCGAGAGGTTCTACGAACTTGCAAGATGGTTGTCAGGTCTTGCGGCAAGGTGTCAATGGATTCGTGACGACGACGAAGTGCTTGAGGATGCGGTGGAGTCTGATGTTGTTGACATCCAGTTGGCCCATGGTCCCCTGTTAAGCTCCGAACTGGCTGAATGTGAGGTCAAGTACAACGTCTGGCAACTCTTGAACGAAGCATGTTGGCCCGAAATGGTCCGCCTATTGATCAAGCGCCACAGTTTCTTCGACATGTACGAGAAACTGTACAAAGCGTTGGGAACAACAGAGCCAAAGGATCTTTCGGTTGAGCTGAAGATTCAAATGATTCAGTTTCTCACCGACGAGGCTTGTTCGAGCGATAAAGTTCGCCAAATCATGAACCAACAGCTGCGACAGGTGAAGGTTTTTGTTTGGATGAGGGGGAAATTAACGAGAAATCAGATTGAAAAGATAGTAGAGAAGAAGAGAGCTGAAGATGCGGCTCTAAAGCAGAAGAAGGCTGATCGTAAAGGTTGTAGGCTGCTGGTTCTTCTTGTGCTGAATTCTTCTCAGATTCAGACAAAAAGGAGGAAGGGGATGCGACAGAAACCAGTCAGCAGATTCTTGACCTGATGTGCCAAGTCAGCGCCAAGGACGGTCATCCTTTTGAGATTCGGTTTGTCGAAAAACGTGGAATGTTGTTGCTCACTGTTATTTGACAGTTGCAAACAAAACTACATCAAGGCCACTTTGAAGAAGAGCGAAGGCGACATCAAGCTTGTCAGCGAGGGACAGGAGTTCTCTTGTCCGTTCGAGTGGGTCCGCGAGTTTACGGGACTCCAGAGGTCCTCAGTGAAGAAGTTCATCATGTACTCGGGCAAGAGCCTCAAGTGGCATGAGGATGACTTCTCTGGTGTCAAGTCTGAGGCTGCTGACAAGAAGGACAAGAACGATCTGCCTGAACCTGCAGCATCTGAGTCGCCCAACGCAAAGGTGAAACTCTGAACGTAAGCCCCACATCTCTAACGAGGCGACGATGCCCAGGTTGGCGGGAGCGACAAGCTTGACATCGATGCTAACAGAAGGAAACGAGAATTCCGTGCGGCCCTCGGGAAGGCAGAGCGGATTCTCCGGAGCAAACCTGTGGGATACGATCGCTGGTGGCGAAGCTACTGGGTGTTTGACAGCAACAAGCACTCGTTGTGGGTGAGAGAACAGAGTAGCGAGTCAGTCAGCACGGCGTCAGTTGTTGGGCAGCAGAGGGGAAGGTGAGTGTAGAGATGTGAACATGTCAAAGGTGGTTGACTCCATCTGATGACATCAGGTTCGAAGGGGTTGGGTGTAGGCCTGTGTGGTCTTTGTACCGCACGTCCGACGGGTCCCTCCAGGCTCTTTTCCGGGTCCTCGTGCTGGGTCCGCAGGGCACAAGAGAATCGCATCTGATTGAAAACCTTCGCAAGAATGGCTTCGACTGGGTCGTGAGCTACTACGAGAAGGCGATCGAAGACGAGGCCCAAGTTGACTGGAAGAACTTGGAGGCTCAATGTCCTGTGCCCAGCATCGAGGACGATTACATGCAGAGGGAGATAGAATCGTATGCTTGGAGCGAGTTGCCGGCGATCGGTGACCTGCTGTGGGCCAAGTCTGACGCGAACTCTAGACTGTCCCATCCTATCCAGGTGGTGGAGCCAGTGGATGAAGAACCGGACACGGAATCGGAGGATGAGATGAGCGAGGAGGATGCTGATGTTGTGCGCGAGCTGAACGAGGGCGGCTGGCAGAGGACAGGGAGCGAGCACATCAACCGAAGAGTGCTGGTTGACGTCGATCCTGAGAACAGCTATACTCGTCGAAGGAGCAAGTTGATCGGGCGTGTGATTGGTTGGCTGCCGGCTAGCACTGATGGCGCATCGAAGAAGACTAGGAAAGTCGCTCTTTGGCGCGTGAAGTTTGACGATCAGAAACTTGGATTCCAAGACTTTGAGCAGCGGGAAGTCGAAGCAAGCATCAGGCGATACGACATGGAGACGTGCAAGAAGCCAAAGCGTGTCGAGTGTCTCTCGTCGAGCAGCATGTTCGGTCAGAAGATTGTGTGGGTTTATGGGCGATTGTTCGATGATGCGAAAACTGTGAGACTGTATCCTCTGCCTGTGTGCTTATAACTTAAACTTTAACAGGTGAAGTTCTTTCCTCTAGCCGATGTCCTGCCCTTCCAACAGTTCAAGGAGCAGAAGATACAGGAGATCAAGAAGGCAGGCAGCAAGATCATGAAGGAGGTTGGCCCGTCCCCCTGCTTCCCCCTGTGTGACAGCTCCACAGGTTGAGGCTTGCAATGATTGGATAGAAGAAAACGTCTCGGACATGGTCAAAGATGAAGATCTCCGGGACGTGATGGTGGAGCTGGGCTGGAGAAGCAAATCTGAGCAGGTCATGACGGACCAGCTCAAGGCTTCCTGCAAGCATTGCACCAAGTATCCGCGCATCCTCAATGTTATTCAAGACAATCGGGATGTAGGAACCTGTGGCGCTGTCTCCTTCGCTGAAATCTCTTCCTTGCAGTTCCTTCCGCTCGTCTGTGAGATGCAGGAGCTGAGCTCGCAGCTCCTGGCACTCATCCAGAAGATCCTCCTCACAGGAGGAAGCGACGACAACATTAAGAGAAAGTTCAGCTCCGTCTCCTCTCGTGTCAAGGAGTTTACCTCGGCTCAGGATGTAAGACCCCTCCCTGTCCCCAGCAGCTCCCTGACCCTCATGTCTCAGCTCGTTAGCTGCCTGCTGGACCTCGAACGCTTCCTGAGCGAGCTCGCCAACTCCAAGGGCGGCAACGCATTCAACGAGCTCACGTTAGACCTGGACGAGTGGAAGACCGAAGGGCACGACTGGATCGATCGATTTCTCTACAGGACCGCCGAGGGTGCCCTCGGCGTCTCCAAGTACGTCAAGGCGCAAGTGGTCGGCTGGCTTCCTGCGGAAGAGTCAGAGTATTTCAACTCGGAGAAGGAGCCGTCGGCGCTATGGCACATTGTGTGGGAGGATGGGACCGAGGAGGACCTTGAGGCGTACGAGGTAGGCAGCTGTTGTCGGTTGCACTTGTTGTGACGATAAGCAGGTGGAGGAAGGCTTCGCGCTGCTGGCAGACATGGAGATGGAGGAGGGGAGCAGGGGTGGCATGTGGGCCTCTCAGCTGGACCGAACGAGGTGGATGAAGCTGCTTGAAGGAAGCCAAACGGTCGGCGCCATCGCGTTGGCCATGTACATGTTCGGCGATCGAGCGCTGGCACTGGTGGAAGATCTGTGCAAGGCGACGCGCCACCAGCAGGAGGAGTGGGACGACTACTGCCTTATCTGCTTCGAGGGCGGCAACCTCATCTGCTGCGACTCTTGCCCTAGGACTGTCCATGCGGCATGCCTGGGGCTCAGCAAGATCCCCAAGGGCGACTTCTACTGCTTCGACTGCGAGCGAGAGCGAGCCAAGGAAGCCAAGAGCCGGGCGAAGAAGAAAAGCGTGAAGGGAACGAAAGGAAAAGGTGACGGGAAAGAGAAAGGCAAGAATACCAAGCTGAGGTACGACGAGGAGCTGCAGAAGCTTCGCAAGAGTCTCATGCGCTATGGGGCGATCAACGGGGCCGTGGCAGAAGTCCAGCCGGACGAGAAGAGCTTGAAGAGAGAGGAGAAGTGGTACGTGCTGGTGACTGACGGGCATGTCCTCAAGAGCGGGGAGGGCCCCAAGTTGACGGCCGTCAAGTTCTTCAGCCCGTGGCGGAGCAAGGAAGGGAAGGGGATGCGGCTCGAGGACAAGGAGGAGCCGCTGGACATCTGCTCCGTGCTCGGCATTGGAAGCATGGAAGAGATGCTGGTAGGAGACGAGCGGAAGGGATACCAGCCCAGAGATTTGTAGATGGATATGCGAGGAATGTTGACGTCAGTCGATACAGTTTGACTTCCTTTTCCTTCACCTCCTTCAATCTTACACCACCCACACTCGCTAGACAAAATCTCTCTGCTGCATGCTTAACTCTGCTTCCTCCGACTCCTCTCCGTCCTCCCCGCAACCCCTTAGATCTCTCAGTGTTGACCCGCAAAGGACAAAGCCTGATGTCACGCCCCTTGAGGTAACCAGCCATTGACTGCCCGCTCAAGCTCACTCCTCCGTCTGGCCGCGATCGACGTCTCCTCCTGTTAAGCCTCTTCGCTTGTACGCCGAGCCCTGCTGAGCTGCTGCCCCCTCTTGAGGAGGAAACCCCATGTTCCACTGCCTCTTCACCTCCTGGGGCTTCCCGGAGCCGATGCCGGGGCATGCAGTTGAGATCGAAGATCCCGGCTGCGATCCTTCTGCGCATCCGATGGCCGAGTCCAGCGCACCCGAAGCAGATTTCATACCCTCCTCCATGGCCTCCTTGAGCTTCGGGTCAGTGTCAGGGTCGTCCATCTTCTTCTTGACCTCAGCGTCTGCCTTGTTCATGGCCTGAAGCTCAAAGAAAGGGAAAGTGGGCTTGGTCATGACCATGGGAGGAGTCTTCCCTGCAGGAGGAGGTGGTGGAGGAGGATGGAGCACGAGGTTTGTGATCTGCCATTGATGCTTGCCCTTGGAGTATCGTAAATCGAAATCTACTCCCCATGGCTTATCAGCTACCATGGCGTCCCCCTGGTCGCTAACCATCATGGTCTCTTCCCCTCTCCTGGTCTCATCCCATTCGTCAACCTTCAGCGCTATCAGCGTCATCGTCGCCAACGTCGCCATAGCCACTAGCCCCACCGCCGCCTTCATGCCGCCTCTTCAGAATTTCCCACCGGTACCCCTTGAATGCTGTGAAGATACCCACCCTTTGCACATATTCTCATCCCACCCCATCTTTGAACTGTAGAAGTACCCCCGATCCTACAGGAGTATGATATGGGGTGATCCACCCCCTTCTTTCCCTGGAACTTTATGGGTCATTGACCCTACCCCCTAGGCATTCCTTGCATGTCCATGCACCCCCTTGGTTTACCTATTTCTACGAATCTAAGTCATAGCTTATAAGGATTCAGGTACTAGCAACATCCACCCCCACCGCCGGAATCTCCTTCTCCGATGGGGTACAATAAAGGGATGGCTGAACTTGAGGGGGTACTGGGGTAAACAGCAAGTTACCACCCACTTAAAGCAAGGGTATACAGTATCAAAGGTAGGGGTGTTTTACAGTTTCATGTTTTGTCTAGGGGTGATATAAAGGGTAGGGTACAAAGGGGGTGGGACTCCCGGGGTGTAGAAGGGATTCGGAATGGCAGCGAGGTGCGCGGGAGCAGGGCGAAGGAAACGAGGAGGAGAAGGACTGAGGAGGAGGAGAAGCATGGGCAGGTAGAGAAACTTCGAAACATGACTTGATGGTGAGTACGAGAGGACAAGGTGGAATGATGATGCGAAAGGTTGAAATCAGAGGAAAGCAGAACCAAGAGCGATAATGGGGAAGAGTGGTCGGGGTACAACAGGATGAGATAGGATTAAACATGATCAGACAGGGTTCAGTGGACTGCGGAAGAGCAGCATAGAATAACAGAGAAGACCCTTGTTGTGAATTAGAAGAGGAAACGGGAAGCGAGCACAGAGTTGTTTAGGAGATCCCCAAGGAAGAGTTCAGTATCTGTTTCTGATGCTTTCAACAGTTGCGATGTTTCTTGTCAACAAGGCTGCGAATGCATTGAGTATCATTCCATTCCCTTTCCTTGACAACGGTTGCATGATTGGAAACACTTGAGTGCTCCTCCCCTTGCCTTCTCAAGCGGAACAACAAATACAAATCTTTCTATTCTCGACGTTGCAGGCCAATATGATCTCAAGTTTCCTTGATGGCATGAAGAGATCGATGTCATGAATCCACCGAGTGCCCCCTTGTGCTGCCTATTTTGCCTGCTACTTCTTCTACCCTGCTTCACGTGCATGGAAGGTCTCGCAGTTACTGGACACCCCTGCTGGACTGAGAGGAAGTTCAACGATATGCTCTTGTTGCATCGTGCTGATGGATCGCTGGATGATTGTGTTGCTATCAACTTAGAGAAAAACTTGAGGCTGAACGTTTGCTCGCTCTTCTCTGCCATGGATCAGGTTGACCATCCATCTTCCAATGACTGGAGGCAGCTCGTCCTGTCACGCTCGCCCTCTCCAGAGACGATGTCCATTGGCTCTGTGAGGAAGCGCAGGACGAGGAAGGCAAGCAAGTCTCCTCCTCGTCCGGTTGGACGCATGTGCAGGCATCCCTTTGGATGCTCGAAGCGAGCCTCTTTCGGAGAGGCAAGCAGTCGTCTTCCACTCTACTGCCTCGACCATAAGATGCCGCAACACATCAATGTGAACTCGAGGTGAGCTTTCGAAAATTGCCGTCGTCCTGTGCTGATGCAATCCCCAGGATGTGTCACTATCCCGAATGCAAGCGGCAGCCTCTCTTCGGAGACGCCTGCGATGGCGTACCACGTTTCTGCGGCGAACATCGACGGAAAAGCGATTTGGATCTCGTTCATTCTCGCTGCAGCTTTGATGGCTGCGTCAGCATTCCCTGGTACGGGGAAGTTGGCAAGTCTCCGCAGGTGCTCCATCCTCCCTCGTTCTTGTCCCTCTCCCCTCTTTCTCTTATCCTTCTCGCGCTCCCTCGTCTCGTGTGGACGTCGCTCACTCGAGTACAGTACTGTAGCAAGCACAAACGGCGGAACATGGTCAACTTGTCGTTGTCCAAGAGCGAGACGAAGCTCTCTCCGAGTTCTTCCATGTCGGAGGTGACAGAGAACAGCGAAGGCAACGACGAGAAGGAGCTGAAGAGGATCGAACATCGTCCAAACCTTCCCACCGGGAAGGAGGATCTCCGGTGGTCTCGCAGCAAACTTGTTCGCCCGAGCAGTTCTTCCTCAACAGGGCATCTGCAGAGGCCGTCTTTACAGCTCTTTCAAGGTGATATCTTGTAATCGAATGCAGAAAGGAGATGGGGTCGTCTCAGTTGGGATCGAACATGAGCTTCTGCACGTAGGTACCAAGATCTTTGGGCTTCTCCTTGGTCGCAAGTCCTTTGTCGAACCTGCCACAAGTTTTCAGCTGAGAAGCCTGCGGCACTTTTGTGTACATGTAGTTTGCGACTTCACATGCGATGGAGGTGGATACTTGGCGGATCTTACTGACAGGAGGGTAGATGGTTCCTTTGTCTAGAGACGCCTGGTCCACCTGCAGATGCTGGTTGAGTTCAGCCTCACACTGATAGAACTTGCGCACGTTGGATGCCAGCACGCGTGCAGCAATCAAGAGGCATTCCTCGTCGATCCGCTTCGCGCCAGCCGCAAGAGCTGCGAGGCCTAAGCCGGGGAAGATGAATGCCTGCAAGGATCGGATCAATAACAGCCAGCCGTGCATAGAGGCCAACATTGTTGCCTTGCCCAGGAATCAGGTCCCTTCCGTTGATGGTCAATCCTTGCATGGGGCTGCCGGACGAGTAGACACATCTCCCTTCCGTCCACTGTCGGGTCGTCAGATGAGGGTCTGTTCTCTAAGAAACGTGAAAGTGTTCGTGGAGAAGAGCTTACCGTGTAGGCCTCCTGTGCAGTACATTCGGCCTTGGACGTCGGGTTGGAGAGGGAGAAGATTATTGGCCGCTCGTTGATCTCCCCCATCTTTCTGCAGACCTCTTCGTTGAACACCTTAGGCATGGCGGAGGCCCCGATGAGTCCGGTGGGTCTCAGGAGTGAGATAGCCTCAGCAAGAGAGGACGGGGCACTGCTGCCGGAGAAGTCGTGGGCAAACGGCTTCTTATGATGGGCCAGATCTCCTGCTCTCTGAGAGGTGATGAGACCTTGCGAGTCGAACAGCCAGATTTTCTCTCGCGCTTGCTGCAAGACATTGATCTCAGGTGCATCCTCCAGACGACCTCATTTCTTACCGTCTTCGACTTGCTTGTCTTCTCTGCGATGTAGGATGCAACCAGCTCTGCGATCCCCGTGCCCGCCTCTCCAGCTCCGAAGAACAGGAAAGTCTCGTCTTCCAGCTCCCTTTTAGTCAACTTCTTGCTTGCTATGAGTCCTGCAAGAGCAACTGCGTACAAGATGTTTCAGTTGCTCTGACGGGAGCCAACATGATGGAAGACCAGCGGCGGTTCCTTGGATGTCGTCGTTGAAGCAGCACTGCAGAAGCATGTCAACGCAACGAATAACGTGGTTTTGAGAGGACCGTGTTCTGCGAATACGTCTCTAGAAGTCGAAATGCATTCTTGTTGCCGAAGTCTTCGAACTTCACAGATGAGTCAGGCGTGAAATAAATAGTGATCACGAAGACTTGAAATGGTTTGGGAGTTCAACAACAGCAACAAAAAAAGTACCTGTATAAGAACACTTGAACCATATTCCTCTTTCGCTGCTTCAATGAATTCCTTCACAAGTTGGTCGTAACTTGGTCCCCTTTCCCTCTGCCTCCTCAGGCCCATGTACGTCGGCTGATTGCGAAGAGCTTCATTGTTTGTTCCGACTGGTTTGCATCACTTCAGAGATTGACGATACATGCTGCAATCTCCACGTTACCGTCAAGTTGTACTGGAAGACAATAGGCCGGATCGATGCCGGCACATGCTGTAGTAAGTTTTCACGCGAGGAATGGCCCTCTCTGTCTGTACGAAACTTGCCTGTGTAGAGCGCAAGTTTTCCCACAGGAATTCCCATGCCGTTGACTCCAAGGTCGCCCAATCCGAGGATTCGTTCGCCATCAGTGACAACGATAACCTAGTAGGATGGCCACAAGCATCAGAAATGCACATGTGGAAAAGTACTCACCTTGATGTTTTTCTCCGGCCAGTTTTGCAATGCTTCCTTGACATGGCCTATGTCTTCCAAGCTGAAATGAAAGCCATGAGCCGTGTAAACGTTTTATCAGACTTTTCACCTCAGGTAAAGTCCACGAGGAGTGTGTCTGTAGATACGATGCCAGTCCAGACATGCTTGTCCGACTGTTGGAGTGTACACGATCGGCATAAGTTCTTTGGTATACTTCATCAAGGCCGCGAAATAAATCTTTTCGCACCCATCTTGGATGCTATGAAGCAGAATGTACCGCTCGAGGTCAGTACTCTTGTCCCTGATCTGCTCCATCAGAGCTTCCACAGCAGCCTCCATCGTCACTTGTCCTGCGGGAAGCAGGCCTCGCATTCTCAGTCTTTCCCGATCTTCCTTGGACGTCGTGATGCTGGCACTTCTAGATGGCAACTTTAACAGGTTCCATCCCTGAGCTTCTTCTTTGTTGTTTGAAGTTGACATGGAAGTCACGGTTGGGAACATGCTTGGCTTAAGTGCCCTGGTACACCATTTGGACTTCTTTGTAGGGAAACAAGATGACGCCGAGGGCATCGGAGCCGAGGGTGTGAAGGAGAACGAAGGAGAAATGGCGGCGAAAAGGGATACAAGAAGGACAGCAAAACTTCTGCCTCCTCCTCCTCCTCCTCCTCCTCCTCCTCCTCCTCCTCCTCCTCCTCCTCCTCCTCCTCCTCCATCTGCTTTCCCTCGCATTTTCCGGGTTGATTCGTCTCCGATGCGTCTAAAAGATAGACCCCTCCTACGTCTTTTGAGCACCCCCCATAATATCACACCACCCCCGTTTCATGATGGTAATTAGATCACTTTGCTATCAAATGCTTTCACAGGCCCGTGGTACCACCCCTTCTCAATTAACCTCTTTCCTACCCTGACCCCATGTGCATACCCCCCACCCACCTTGAGGCGTCATATTGCGTCAGGAACCAAGCAGCAGGAGGACCAACTTAAACGTGCATGAGGCAGACGGAATAGAAGAGGAGAGAGGAAGGAGCGTAGAACCGATGACTACATGTTGAGGAGAACCGATGACTACATGTTGAGGAACTAAGCCAAGAAGGAATCGCGCATAACTGAAATAGATCATTTCTGCTGGCAGTGAGTGCAAGAATCTCAATTACAACCAAGGTGATGAAAGGAATTCCGCACAACCGAGAAACAATGAAAAGGTCCGTTTCACATTTGGTGGAATTTAAAATGAAAAATAGTTTTGAGCTAGCCTTAGATTGTATACATTTACTTGCCAAACATGGAGGAGAGGTTCTCCTGCAAGAGCTTAGCAGCAGTCTGCTCAGACACCTCGATCTTGAGGGACTGAGCCTTGACGCACATCTGGTCGTCCTGGGTGTTGGAGAGACCGCCGGTGTACTCCTTGGGAGCGCGGCTGCAGCCACGGTGATCGAAGATGGTGATCACGGGAGCGCGGGCGGACTTGTCCATGGAGGCGCCAGCGGGAGCGTTCTGGAGGAAAGGAGCAGCAGCAGCTCCGGCGGCTCCAGCCTGCACGACCGCACGCCTGGATGGGTTGAGGGACATCTAGAAAAGAGTTAGGTCTAAGAAAACAGCTTCTGCAGCCAAAAAACAGCGCTGCTGAATCCCAAAATTTTACATATCATGAGATAGGAGAAATAGTCCGCAACTCAACATGGGTAGACAATTCCACATATCAGGAAAAACTTTAACAGGACAGGAAGATATATTCAGGAGATAGTGCAACTACCCAGGTGGAAGGGAACACAATTGGTTAGGTTCGAGGAAATGAAGTAGGCATTGAGAGCGGATGTGAGAGGCGGAGAGAAGAAAGGAAAGAAGGAAGGAGAGAGACAAAGGGGATGTGAGTATGAGAAAGGATGTAGATCTCACCAGGGTGGGGGTGTAGGCGGACGCGGAGGCGACGAGCGCAAGAGTGGCGGCGGTCCTGAGCATGGCAGCTGATTGCCGTGTGCCGCCGCCTCTCAAAATAAAAAGGATTCACCATGAACTTTGAGAAAGAACCTTTCCCGGGCCGTCCTTACCCACCCCAATTCCGAACCAGGGATTTTCTGATATGTACCCCCTCATTGGTTATATTTCGATAAGACGAGAAGTGGTTTCAGAATTTGGACAAGAAACAGATTAAAACTTTACAAATTATTTTGAAAATATCAATATGGTACCCCCTTTATTCCATGTCCACATGGCCCTCCATACCTTTTTGAAGGGAGGAACTTTCTGGAGGACATCGTATGTCGTCATAAAACCTGCTTGATTTGATCCCACCCCTTATTGCGATGACCCTGACATATAGGATGATTACCCCTCTTTTACTGTACCCTACCCATGATTTACTCACCTTTTCGCAGTCATAAAGGTAGTCAATATCCTCACCCTGGTTGGCATTTCAAGTTTAGTACCCCCGTGTTGATAACCCCCACCCCCATACATCCCGGCCACCGTTACCTATCTTTATTATGAGATATTATTTTAATAAACATATTCTGTAAAATGACACCCCACCCCCCCCGATTCATATCATTTGCATCACCCTGTTTCATTTGGAAATACACCCGTCAGCGAATAAGTATTTATAATTTTCTTAAAATAGAATCATTTTGTACGAATTATATATTAATACTCATTTTAAAGTTGGATCCATGAATTAGGCTGCATTTCTGGTTCTTGCAGCTTTGGTGGATGTCTGCACATACATGGCTGGTGGCCTCTGGTCCCTCCCTCCCCAAACGTTCGATCCATACGCGATGCAGAGAGGGGATTTGCAAGCTGCAATAAAAAAGATGTTAGGTGAAAAAAATAGCCGCAAACGGAAATGTTAGGTGGGAAAACAGGATTTGCTGTGTACAGCGCATTCCTTTAATATCGACTATGTCCATCGAAGCCTGAGTCTCGGAGACAGGTTGCGTGTATGAGCCGCGATTTCACAGGAATAGAGGAAAGAGCCTGAAAACAATGACAGAGGGGGAATGATCAAACTTTTTGTGTTGGCAATCTTTGAGGTGATGAACGTAAGCACATCGATAGTTTGAGGTACAATTCTTGGTTTGGAGTGCCAGAGGTGACAATTAACCAACCCCGTCTATTTGAACATCGATAATGTGCACCTGTGATGCGTGTGTGTGTGTGCTTGTGTGTGTGTTTGTATGTGTGTCTGATTCTCACTGTGGCTCTCGCTCGGACGCTCAGTCCCTCAGGCAACTTGAAACTTCCGGGCTCAGTGACAGTGACAGTGGCTGAGTGAGTCTACAGACAGTGGTGTTTCAAGTTGTGCGTGACTGTGTTGAGGCTACTGATCGGAGCTAGTCTCACCTCAGGCTACGTTACGAGTCAAGCAGTTGATGTGGCTCCGAGGCTCGGTGCACAGATGCAGGAAGGTACTCACGGAGAGGACAGCAACAGCTGTCATAGGGACGACGTAGGAAAACCATGAAGACTCAGACAGCAGAAGCCTAGGACCCATGGGAGACAGCAGGTGATAGCGAGTCAGTCCTTATCAGATGCCGCAGGGTCAGTAACGGCTAGGGGGATTCGGAGGTCCCACCCCTGGATCCATGGACACAAGAGGACAAGGGGCCCAGTCTGATCAGTGAAGGCAGTACTACCAGAAATATTCTACTGGAGGCCAGTAGAATATTTCCCTAGTTCCATACTAGCTTGAAGGTCTTCTCCAGTAGAATGTCTTCTCCAGTAGAATAGAATAGAGAAGACCGTGCCCTTCAAGCTAGTATGGAACTAGAGACTCGGGTGAAGGAGCCTTGTGTTTCCGAAGTTCTCTGGGAGACTAGAATGCAGGAGCACAAGTTTGTTAGACTTGTACTGTGCCAAAGTAATGCAGACATCACATCGACCTTAGTTGTAACAAGACACTGTGACAGTTTTTGCTCAAGACCGAGTTTAATGCACATAAAACCAGAAGGACCTTAGCAAGACGGCTAGGAAGGGGGTTTACAGGAGAAGTTTTGTTAACTTGACAGTGAACTCGGCGCTATCCGGCCGGGCGACTGGCCGCCATTTGCCCGCGGCCAGTGATCCATGATGATCATGAAAATAAACAAGCTTGAACACCTGTACAAACCTCACTGATTATCACCTCTGTTAGTTCCCTGTTCCCAGTGATAAGTACGGGCCCGCTGCACAGAGCGGCGGCCGGCCCGGCCCAAACTTCATGCGGCAGTGACTTGGCAAGTTTCCGGGCCAACACCGTCACAAACGCAACGCTTGAGATTGTTGTGGGATAATTTATCGATAAAGCGTTTTTTTATTGGCACTTTGTATAACCGTTTAGTAACCGTGCTGCTTTGAACCCGTTTTTCCTGTTCTTTTTCAGTTGGTGGCAAATGAAATCAGGCAGGCAGGCAGGCAGTCACTCTTAGTCAGACAGACAGACAGACAGACAGACAGACAGGCAGGCAGGCAGGCAGGCAGGCAGGCAGGCAGGCAGGCAGGCAGGCAGGCAGGCAGGCAGGCAGGCAGGCAGGCAGGCAGGCAGGCAGGCAGGCAGGCAGGCAGGCAGGCAGGCAGGCAGGCAGGCAGGCAGGCAGGCAGGCATTGGAGAGGGTCTGCATACAACTACTTCCTCATCTTCAGTCCTTTCCTTGGTACATCTGTGCCGCATTTACCTACACTTGCCAAGTTACAAGCGCAGGGAGAGCTTGAGGAAGGAGAAGAGTAATTTGTTTTGTTACAGATGGACTTTAACCTGGGACAAAAGAAGAATTGCCTGATAGGCAACTGGTCGGAGGAAAAAGCGCTTCATGATTATACTGGTCATTTCCGAATGCCTGCAGATGGTCCGAAGGGAAGGAGGTGAGAAAAGAGGAGGCAGAGAAGCAGGAGAGGAGGAGATGATGGTCAAACCACGAGAGCGAGGGAGGTGCGGAGAGTCAGTCACAATGCTGATGGGATGGCAGTACCTTCAAACGATGCATAGAGCACTCGCAGCGGGCAGACAACAGCGACTTGAAGACATCGAGCAAGCTAGACTTCAGCGACCCCCGCGCGGAGCATGTGAAACTCAACTATCAGCCAGACTCGACGGTAGGAGCACGAGAAAAAATGCTGCTACAGAGACTGAAGACCGTAGCAAGGTTGGATACCAGCACCACTACCCTCAACATTACCCTTCCTGTTACCACCCCTCCTGCATCACTGACCCAGCGTGCAGTGAGAAACCTCCTCCACTTCCCCCTTCCCGGGATTTTGAAACTACCACATCCCTCGACTACCAGTGGCCTCAGGTCGACGAACATTACAACCAAACCCGCGGACAGAGGAGGATGCGAACGCTAGACAACGCGCCGACGAGAGGAAGGGACCGGACGTTTCTGGTGAGTGCCGACGGGGACATGAGGCAAGTGACGATGGGTTGCAGCTCGAGCATCAGATCGCGTCGCCTCATGTCTGTCTGGAGGAGGAGGAGCGAGGAGAAGACCTCGCTCCCTTGGTCGAGCAGGACGTTCCTATCACTATCTACTCTGCCAAGCCGCAACTCTTCCCGATGTCGAACCCCTCTCAGGTGGAGCTTATCACCTGCACTTCCTCTGCGTGTCCTTCTCCTCGTCCTCTACCCATTCCCTCCTTCCATTTCCCCTGACCCACCTTGCTTCTAACTCTGGGTGCAGGGAGCGAATCCATTTGGCAAGGATAGCGGGTACCTCTCCTCCTCTTCCTCCTCGTAGTTCCCTCACAATGGAGCAGATTCACCATGCCCACCCAGTACTTTACCCGTGCCATTACGCATGACCTGTAGGCAGGACTCGCGAACTGAGGAGCTTCATTGGGCACACGATCTTAGTACAGGATAGGACTGTCGAGGACACCAAAGCCAGCAGCGACACCTGTGAAGAAGAAAGCAGAGTCACTGCGGGGCAGTGAGGAGCAAGTGTCGGGAAGGCAAGAGAGGTCGGGAAGGCAAGAGAGGTCACCAGTTTCCTTAGAAGTCGCCTGCTTAGATCGTAGGAGATGTCTGAAAAATTGTCATGATTCAGCAGTCCGTCTCAGTCTCTCCCTCTTCCTTCCTCACCCCACGCATTCCGAGAACATCACTCTCTCCCCATTTGCTAGGAACACGCCATAGGTACCCAGCTCTGTCGTCGCCTCCGTCTCTATCGCCTGCAAGGCCGTGAGTGATAGTCAACGAGTGGAGGGGTGTATGCAGTACAAGACTGACCTGAAAATTTCTGAGGAAGACGGAGGGGATGGAGGGAGCTTGGATGATGTCCATGAGGATATAGGCTTGCAGTGTCTCATTGTTTCCTTCCAGAAGTTTCTTCTTCATCTCCTGCTCCATTCTTCACAGCCAGCATCTCAACCTGCTCCTAACCTCCTCGTAGAAGTTGTTCCCTCCTCCTTCACGCTGAGGCTTCAGCACGTATCTTGCTCCTACTTCAGTCTCATCCTCTCATGGGTCGTGCCTCACCTGCTCGGATTTGCAATCGCATCCTCCTTCGCTCTGTCGGCCTCGACGCTGCCATCGCCAAGCGCATAGAGCCCTGAAGTAAGAGCCATGAACAAAGCGACTCCTTCATCGACATCACTCAGACCTGCAAAACACGAGCGAATCCGCTTCGCACTGTCCTCATCGACGAATTTTTCGACCATGCCTGGGCAGGCGAGGACCTAAGGGACAGTCAGAGAGCAGAGAATGAGGCGAGTTTTTACCTGCTGAATCTTCTTCGCTCCAACACACTGAGAGGTCTTCGGATCAGCGAAAGAAGCACGAGAAGAGAGAAAAATGAAGGAAGAGGGCAGAAAGCATTGGAAAAGAGCTACCTGGTATGCAGCAGTAGGGCACTTGATGGCGGCACTCCGCTCCAAGAGGAGGCGAGCGTCCCACCTGAAGAAATGAGGAGGGGGACAAGACCAAGAGTAACGCACTCTGCTTGTGTCGGAAAGTCGTTGGGAGAGTAGCCAGCACGGAAATAGACGACGGAGATTTCCATCCCCTTCATCGTCAACCTACCCATCCCTCAAACCCTCTCCTCTCCATCCCCCTAAACTCTCAAGCGTCACCACCTCCGTCTCCTCCTACCTCTTACTCGACGCATCGAGGGCTGCATGCTGCCGAGCTCGTCAGTCTCCCTCAACCATCAACAGCACCGACCTCGAGAACCTCGGCTAGAGTCGCACGCAGCACAGGAATCCTGTGATGCTCCCACAGATAGAACTCGACGTGCCTGCATGGAAGGTGACGATGAAAAAATGGAGAACGTAGACTGAATATTGCAGAAGAATTGGCTGTAAGGAAGAAGAGGGAAGGCGAATTTCGCAAAACTGACTGACCTTTGGTCAAAGACGTTTTGTTCGTTCGGTTGGACCACAAACAAGATGCCCACGTGCCTTGCAGCTTCCTCATGACCTTGGCGTTCTCCCTCCTCCTCTCGTCATTCCTCCTTACCTTTGATTCGCATCTGGCCTCTCCTGCTCTTTATACGCTTTGTCTGCCAGCGCCATTCCTGTACAACTTTTTCACTCCTTCTCAACATTCTGCTCATCTCACCTCTGCAAATTCCTGAGACTGGCAGATTTTCGGGCAAATTTTCGCTCTGGAGCTTCGCAGCCGGCACCTGGGACTCAGGTTGACTGCCTATTAGCCGTTTCCAATCTCTCACCCTCTCCACCAGAAACTTGTGGAGCGCAGAGACCCGCTGGTGTTCACATCCAATCATTACGTCGTGGCAGCAAAATAGAAGTAGACGAGAAAGAAGACAAGAAAGAATGACCAAGCAGGAGAGTCAATGAGGATTGTTCGCAAGTAAAGGCAAGGACAGAAACAGCATGAAGATATAGAACCTCGGACAAGGCCGCGAAGCTCGAGGCGACTGTGTTGATTTCAACCTTCAGAATTATCAAAATGTGAGTATCGGTACATCATCATCACTTGTTTCGGCTCGAGAGCACTTCCATCATTGGCATCGTGCAGCATGTAGTCTGACCTGATCTCAAGCTCAGTAAAGAGGCCAAGGGCAAGGGTGAAGTCACCTGTGAATACCCAGCGAGATCGGCTGCCTCACACCTTCATCTGCCACCTACAACACTCATCAGATGAGAATACCCGCAAGTGACACTGACGGTGTTAAAGATCTGCAGATAGTTTCGCTGGAACTCGTCGCTTCTTGCAACAGAAGAAAGATGCTCATTTAAAAACCCACGGTTCATTGACACCTGGGTTCATCAGCAACTTCATCATCATCGCCCTGCACTAACCTTGTGCACCAGGTTGTTGAAGTCTCGCATGATGTCCTTGACCAAGTGGTACGTCTGCCGCGGGAACGGCATTGGCAGCAGACTCACTGGTGCTAATTCAAGTCCTGTTGGCCGAAGAACCTGACCAAACTTCAATGCATGGACGAGCGCGAGCTGCAGATATGACTTGCAGGCCATGAGCAGCAGACCAGGCGATCGCCAGCTCCTTGATTGACTGGAGAGTTTCTCTGGGAGCCTTTAATTCAAAACTGCAGAAGCAGGGCAGGCAAGGGACGCAAGAAGGGCAGGGTGGGCACAATGGAGGGCACCTGTCGATGCTTGGGCGTGATGGTTGGGCATCGCTCATGCTGCCATCTGATAAGGCCGTCTCGGAGTCAAAAGAGAAAAACCTGAACTGCGTGGTTGGCTGGATGAATGTAAGTGCTAGCACGAGAAGAACTAGCAGTCCATGGGTCAAAATGACAAAAAGAAACGGGAACAGAACCTTTGAACAGCCTACAATGTCCTCTGAGGCTGAAAAAAAGAATCGTGTTGAAAAGATCTCGACAGACTGTCACTCGATTTGTCAAAACAGTTTCCGAAAAGAGCACAGGAAAGCATTACGAAAGAAAGGGGAATGAAGTTTACGAAGACGTGGTACACCAACAGTGTTGGCCCTAGCATTATATTTCGATCGAGAATACAAAAGAAGAAATGAATGGGCATGTATGCTGCAGAATTTGCGCAAGGAGTACGGAATGCACGCGACCGAGCGAGAGTGAGAGCGAGAGGGCGGGGCAAGGGCGAAAGGGGAGAGGGAGGAAGGGAAGGCGACAAGGAAGGGGAGAGGGGAGGAAGGGAAGGCGACGAGGAAGGGGAGAGGGGAGGAAGGGAAGGCGACAAGGAAGGGGAGAGGGGAGGAAGGGAAGGCGACGAGGAAGGGGAAAGGGGAGGAAGGGAAGGCGACAAGGAAGGGGAGAGGGGAGAAAGGGAAGGCGACAAGGAAGGGGAGAGGGGAGGAAGGGAAGGCGACAAGGAAGGGGAGAAGGGAGGAAGGGAAGGCGACAAGGAAGGGGAGAAGGGAGGAAGGAAGGCGACAAGGAGGTGGGGGAAAGCACAGGTGGTTGTGGGGAGGAGGCTGCGGACATGAGGACTACGAGGAAATCTTATTGCGAACGTTATAAACTTGTTGCAATTCCTTCAAACCGTTGTATTCCAACCTTGGTTGCGGTCTCTTGAAGGTTGGTGGTAGCGGTTTCGAAACGTTACAATCAGTTACCGACAGTTTTCTCACCCTGAAAAGCCAAAGCGAGGAGACATGCAGCAGTTATGGGCGGCGAACAAACCGCCGATGGCGCTGAAGGAGGCATTGAACGATGTACGACCAAGTTCTTTTTTTTTTGTTTCATCTTCTTCTGCTTGCTTATCTTTGTGCTTTCTGCCTCTTTGTCTGAAACAATTGATGTTTGATCATTGAATTCTTGCAATTTCAATCGCTTTGGCATGTCGTTCTGTGAGCTACTACTTTATAAGTTGTATCGATATATCTGGATTCTGCTACACTGCGATAGTTGCTTCTGATAATTGAATGAAGAATGGCTAATCAGGACGATGATTGTTTTTGAAACGTCTCAATAGTGGCTTGCAATTTCTTCGTTTGAGATTCAAGAAATTCCTACTTTCCTGTATTGATGATATGCAGTTTTGTTTGATGAATGGGATGCATTCACTTATAATTGTTATTCGTAGTGTGAATCGTTTCCATTGACCTTTCCATTGACACGGAGTTACAGGCTAGAAGACACGTTCCAAGATCAGTCAGCTTTCATGGCACTGAACTCGTGGTGGTAAGTGCTTATTCTTTTAACATCTAATTCCTAACATGCCTCAAGCGTGGAAACAGAAATCGCCCGCAGAACTGGCTAGCACAGGATCACCAAAACTTGCTCATTTGATGAGGTGCGGGTGGGATGGCATTATGACAACCCGTGAGTGATATATATAAAATTACTCGCATGGAAGATTTCAAATAAGTTTACATGGTTGCAGTACAAAAATGCCATGACAATTAATTCAAAGAAAATTATTAAGGTTTAGGTCGATTTGATCGCAGACTCAAGCAGGACTTGCTTCAAAGGAGGCAGAATTGGTCCCTGAGATCGTCCTAAGTTGCTTAACATACGATGACCCTCTGTGTCCAGTTTAGACGACTGTGAAGACTCGACTTGATGATTCCACAATTGATTAAGCCCCATGGGAGGTGACATGGAAAACCCGTGTTTGTCCAAGGCCAGCGTGTCATTAACAAACGAATTCGGAATCCCCATGGTCGATGGGAAAACTCCGTTCAGCGGCCCCGCGTTTCCCGATGACACATGAGTTTGTGAGACTCTTGAAGCTGCAACCTGAAGGAATAATGTGTTGAGGATATCTGCACTCGAAAGCTTGTGATTTGTCAAATGCTCGGCAGCTGCGTTCATTGAACTCTGATTCAAAATCTCCTGTACACTTGTTGCATGTGTCAATAATCCCGGGAATTGGGGAATTTCACTGGAAGCTCCACACGATGTTTTCTTGTTTGAGCTTACATCAGATTCCTGTACACGTTGCACGTTCACAACTGTGCTTCTCATTGAAAATGCGTCGCTATTGTCGTCTTCATCTTCTTCGCACAAATCTTTGTCTCGCGCATCTTCAATCTTTTGTTTGACACATCGCATTTCATCTTCAAGCTTCAATTTCCGCGACTCGCCCAGCTTCCCACTTGCTCTATCGCCTCCCCTTCCCGCTGGTCCGGGTCGCCATTTGGAGAACTCCCGCAAAACCAAGACACAGTTTGCTACTTGATGCGGTTGCATCATACAAAACATTTGTTGGAGGACCACGAGGTCTTGCGAGTCGTCAGGATTCCTCCATCTAGCTCTCAAAAAATGCCTCGCAAGTTTGTGGGCGGCAACGCTTCCCAATTCGCCGGGATTTCCATTTCGTGAAGGCTGAAATCAAACAATCAAAAAACGCACCACAAGCATTTGAATAAATAAACCTTTCTCATTCCTTCATTAAACGTGTTGCCAACAATTTTGTTGAGTCCCGCACGCGAAATACCATCCACTCCCGTTCCTCCATCCCTCACACTAGCATGTTGTGGTAACATTCTACTAAAACCGTGAAATGGCGAGTATGACCCTGAACAACATATAGTAACTAAACATGGATATTCAAAATAGGTTTCGTACCATTCTTAGGCAAAATATGGTCATCAGAATCGCTCTCGGCAATGAAGACGTTGACGAAAGCATTTGCTGCTTGAACCGCACTCGAACAGGGAGGGCGCCTGGGCATGATCCAAACGAACCTTTATACAGCAACGAACTGGGGGACACCTTGCTAGCAAGTTTGCAGTTGCCAATATTGATTCGGGATCCTTCTCAGTAGACTTCAGCAACAGCTCGAAGATAACTCCAACCCCTTTGATCTTGTAACGTTTCCTTGGTTTCCTGTATCTGTGAACAAGCACAAATGTTGTTCTTTAAATTTTTGCAGATTATCCACAACTCATGCAATAATTTTCATTAAGCTTGTCACTTGCTCCAGCTCTCCTTGTGATCTCGATCTCAGTCTTCTGCGGCTGTTTGCTTGCTCGTTATGTTCACTTGGTTCAGCCTTCCTACTCCTGCGCGCCTCTACCCTACACCCTTCAGACTACCCCACCCATGTGTTGTCAAGTCCTACCCCACCCCATAAAACTAACCGATTCCATATACCTTGACCAAAATTTTAGGAACACCGGTACTTCCATTTCTATCGGAGCCCCCAAGCAATCAAATTGCACCCCGACACCCCCTCGACCCCACCCTGAAGCTCTGCGGCCATCAAATCCCATAGAAACAAGATGGGGCGGCCAGGATACCCTACCCCAAAGCTGGATCACCCCACCATATTCGGATTGGGTTCATGAACCCGCCCTCAACCTCTTCACTGTTATTGTACCCCAGTTTTCCTGTATATTATCTTATTCATGAAAGGGGGTTCCCCAGTACCCGTGGTACAATCACAACCCAAAGAAACTGTAGGGTACTACCCCAACCCCCTAAGATACACAGGACGAATCTTATTACCCCTTGTGAATAACCCTACTACTCTCGAACAACACCTTATGCTGGTACCTTGTAGTGGTCGTACTTGGGACCCACCAGATTTCCTGAAGATCAATGGAAAATCCATGGTGGGGTAGTCCGTAAATGGAATTCAGTCCCAACTCTTAAAAAGTAGTTTTTAGTCGGGGTAGGGTGCTCTGATGGTATTTCTGTTCAGAGAAGCAGGGGTGAGGATTGAGACTTTGTAACTAAGATGGGTAGGGTCCATTCTCGAGATAGGTTAGAGTTGCAAAAGGTGGTTAGCAAAGGGGTTCAATATACAATTGAAGATTGGTCATTCACGGGTACTAATTCTGAAACGAGGTTCCTCAATGGGGTGGGGGTTTATTGGTTGGGGTGCACAATCCCGTAGGTAGATTGTACTCAAGGGTAGGGTGGCCTTCAACCAAGGGTATTAAAAATTGAAGGAACTTTGCTGTCACGTGAGGGGGTGGGGGTGTAGTTCTCGAAAACGAGTCTTTTTGTTGACCAACAGGAGAGTACCCTACCTCTCCCATTTGGGCGACCCTAATAATAATAATAATGCAAAGGTTGTGGAACAGATCCGGAAGTACCCTCCCTCATGATGGTACCCACCCTACTTCCATTGGCTTTTCTTTCTGTCGCAGCCCGGAGCTCACCTGCACCGATTCTATCCTCAAAGAAGTCACTACCCCACCTACCCTGAGTCTAGACTCGGGTCCTGCTGCCAACACCCCTACTGTTCAAACCGTATCTATGCCCCTTACTTTTTATATGAGTTTTTACCCTAGCCTCAATTTTGAAAGCATAAAATGGCAGTAAACGTTTTTGCATCGCAGCCGCAGAAGCAATAAACAATATTGATCGTCTTTCTGTTTCTATTGAAACATTAAATTTCTCGCTTTGTTTCCTGGGTCCGGGGGACGTACGGGGGCTGCACGTTCGGGACATGAAAAGACTTTATTTCAATCGAGTACCTACCCTATGACCTGAGTAAATAATTCTAGCAGCAGTGGGTCTTTAAAACCATTTTACAGGCGCCTTGTCCTGTCGTTTTAGGGGCGTAGAAGACCACCCCATCAACGTCGGCATCATGTACGGGTGCCGTTGTATCTATCGGGGGCCCACGGGCCACACTGTTCCGGACTTCCCCTGCGACTCAAACTCAAGGCTTGAAATCATCAGTGAACAATATCATTTTAAAAATGTACCTGCGCAGTTAAGGGAAGGTATCAGTTAAGTTTGGGGGACAGCAGTCGGCAGGATTGGGTTTGGTTCTCGCTGTCTTTTCTCTTCTCGCCGTGTGGCCTGTGCGACTGAGTGTCAGGGTCAAGCCTCGGAGGCTCGTCTCTCCTGATTTAACGGTCCTCGTACTGATTTTAACTTAACTTTGAGTAAAGAAGGTATCTGTTATATAACGGGCCGTCACGGCACGGGGGTGGAACTGCTATATTCGATCTGACAGACGGGCCCGGCCGTTGAACCCCTAGCCTGTGGGAATTAACCGTTGGTACAGCGTTCCGCCGCGGGGAGCACTATGGCGGGGCCGGGGGGATTTAGCCGGGGGGTAATCTTGAGCAGATTCTGCTCTCTCAATGGAATGATGCCTTGGTTTTCAAGCTGTTGGATTTCCGCCGGAAGTTGCAATCACGGTCATGGCCGCATGCAACCGTTTATCTGTGGAGTCACGGTGAACTTCAAGGAGAGGAGAATAGTCCCGGTCAGAACAAACTAAAGGTCCTCGGACTCCGGAGATGTCTATGGCCTACATAAGATGAATCGACTTCAACGGTACACGTATTGGCAACATTCACAGGAAGAATCGAAACCTTCTTTCTCATCGGCGAATGGAAACAGGCCCTCGGAATGTCGGATGAACACGTTGACACAAGTGAGACTCAGAGTCTTCCAAACACAGTCCTAAATCTTTCAAAAGCACACATAGAATCATGCCTTACCTCGTCACAGTCATGGATTGGTGTCATCAGAGCTTCAGAGCGAAAGATTCGAGGGGCATGAGATTACCGTAAAACTTGATGAATTGTAACCTTGCCAGTAGAAGGTCACATGATTCATGTGTTGGCGATGGACAAGACGATGATCAACTTGGATCACAAATCAACGACTGAACGGGACTCGGGACTACAAGGCAGGCTCGCTTTCCGCCCCGGTTGAGGCAAGGCTCGCTTTCTTGAGGCCCAGGCTCGCTTTCTTGAGGCAGGCTCGCTTTCTTGAGGCAGGCTCGCTTTCCGAAGTTGAGGCAGCGGCTCGCTTTCTTGAGCCTCCCCGAGTCCGGCAGGCTCGCTTTCTTGAGGCATCGGGTTTAGGGTTCAGTTTTAGGGTTTTAGGAGCCGGTAGGGAGAGCGCAAGGGGACGGAGGAAGCTGCGAGCAAGTTCTTGGTATAGTTGAAACAGCTTCTAATATCGGAGATCATGCCAATACACGCAGGGCCGCGAGCGCTCTGGAGGCCACGTCGAGCCTCGGAGCCGCCGATCTCGTCGAGAGGGTGAAGAGCTTCGCGAAGCGGTATCCTTAGGGTTTAGGGTTTAGGGTTTAGGGTTAAGGGCCGGGCCTTGTCAGAGGCAGGCCGGGCCTTGTCAGAGGCAGCCGGGCCTTGTCAGAGGCAGGCCGGGCCTTGTCAGGGTTTAGGGTTTAGGGTTTAGGAACCGGGCCCGTTGACATTAGGAACCGGGCCCGTTGACAGAGGCATGCTGCTCTGTGGCGCGTAGTAGGGAGAGCGCAACTTGGGCACCGGAGGAAGCTGCGAGCAAGAGGTTTGTGCAGTTCAAACAGCTTTCTAAGTATGGTACTACAGTATGATGAGAGCGTTCGCAACCTGCTGTATCGGAGATCATGCCAATACACGCAGGGTGAGCGCTCAGGAGGCCACGTCGAGGAGGCCGACCTCGTCGAGAGAGGTCGAAAGCATGGTTCATGCAACAGATGAAAGAGGCCAAACAGCAGAATGTCGAGACTTACTGGCATCGGCACCGAAGACACCGAGGAGACCTCCTTCATCTCCATGACTCTCCTGGGCATCTCCTCGATGTATGTGCGACAAGAAGACAAATTGAAAATGAAGTTGACGGAGCTGGGACTCATAGTAGACTCAGTCGATAGAGACGACAAGTCCATCATGTGGAAAGCACCTTACAGACCTGAGATAGCACGAGCAGACGCCGTCTCAGTCACCATCTCCTTCCTTCGGAATCGGAAGAAGCCATCGCACTCTGGCAAGGCAGCAGAGAGTACAGCATCGACGGGCGAATTTTCAGAGCAACTGAAGTCAGCATTGCACACGACCGGTCGTTCAAGCTCCGAGCCAAGCGAGGACCTTGGGGCAAGGGAGGGAGCCTTGCCGAGCTATCGCAGCTCCTAGCTCTTGGAGGAATGTCGACGGCGGACATAGCTCGGATCTATCAATTCCAACTGATCTCGCAATGTCTCGCCGCAGCAGAGGTACAACCGCTGGCGGGCATGCTCGTGCAGGGTGCTGGGCAGAGAGGTCGCAAGGGGCCGAGCCCGAAGACGTATGTTGCTGTTGGAGCAAGCACCGGAGCTCAACAGCAGAGAGAGCTCGAGTGGGTACTATCCTGCCCATCGACGGCCAGCGCCGCTGCGAGAGAGCGAGGCGATGGAGGGGGTGCACCTGACTCTCGTCAGCGACGACGCCAAGCTCAGAGAGACGTTTGCAGTCGAGCTCACAGCAGACACCTTCGTGCCGAGAGGAAAGATTGCCAAGCAGAGGAAGGTACTTCGCGACAGGGAGCAGGCTCCAAGCGGCAGTTTCAGGGTGCAGATCAAGTCGAAGTCAAGCATGAGCACAGGCCGCTTCTCGAGGAAGGAGATGGAAGCACTGTGCGGAGGAGGTAACACATCGACCACGCGAGTCAAGCGAGCCATGTTGGAATTAGCAAGAATAATGAACCTGAAGCTTGCCAGCATTGAGGTTCAAGAAGATAAGTGGCTGCAGAGCAAGCGCTGGACTCGCGTGCAAGGAGAGAGCAAGAAGGCAAGGAGGGGCAGCGCGTTCTCGCCACGGGCAACGGCAGCTGCTGAGCTTGAGCAGGAGGCGGAGAGCGACGACATAGAGCGTCGATCTCTTAGCTTCCTGTTCATAGCACTGAGTAAATTCGCAGAGATGCATGTGTTGGCCTGCTCGCTGAAGGTGGACAAGAAGGACCGACTGCGGGTGGAGATGAGGGAAGATGACGAAGAAGAGGAAGACATGGAGGAAGAGCAAGGCGAGGGCGAGGAAGAAGACGGGGCGAGCCCGTACCGAGCTTGAGCTGAGCTCAAGGTAAGGAGAGAAGGTAGGAGGCGACCGAAGGCCAAGGTGAGGAGAGGCAACTCTCCTGACTGAGGCTGAGGAAGCTGAATGGAGGAGGAGTAGGTGGCGACCGAAGGCCAAGGTGAGGGAGGCAACTCTCCTGACTGAGGCTGAGGAAGCCAAGAGAAGACAGCAGAAGTAGAGAGTAGAAAGACGCCTCAGAAGCAGGGTTCGCATTGTAGGCCGTGTACTCCCAGTGCTCGCGCGCCTCTTTAGACTAGGATCAAATTGCAAAAGCCCACAACGAGGCCGAGCAACATTCCAGCATTCTAATAAACTCACATAATAATAATAATAATAGGGTTTAGGGTTTAGGGTTTAGGGTTTAGGGTTTAGGGTTTAGAGGATCCCTTTATCTGAGGCAGGATCCCTTTATCTGAGGCAGGATCCCTTTATCTGAGGCAGGATCCCTTTATCTGAGGCAGGATCCCTTTATCTGAGGCAGGATCCCTTTATCTGAGGCAGGATCCCTTTATCTGAGGCAGGATCCCTTTATCTGAGGCAGGATCCCTTTATCTGATCCCTTTATCTGAGGCATGCAGGATCCCTTTATCTGAGGCATGCAGATCAGCGGGGTCCCTGCGTGGTAGAGCAAGAGTCGCCAGGAACGCAGGAAGCTCGGGAAACCATCGAGAATGCTTCGAAACATGTGGCCAATATCTATTGTGAACCCTGACGAGATCGTGCAGTACCGTACCTCCAGCTACCTCAAGAGGCAGACGGAAGCTGCCACGATGCCGTCATCAGCCGAACTGATGCGGAGACTGGATGAATTCGCAAGGCAGAACCCCAAAAGCAGGACGAGCAAAGCTCTGAAAGCCAAAGAAATATCCTTGGAAGCCTTAGCCGAAGCCATCAGTCAGACATGCAGCTTTGCTGAACCCTCGTCACTGGAGAATCCGAAAGGGCTCAGGCAGTGGGGTGACGATGTCAGGCAGTGGTACCTGTCAGAGTTCCAAGCTGACAGACAAAGGCAGATGGAGGCCAGATCATATGATGACCAGGGCACAAGTGTGCAGACGATTACCATGAAGGTACTTGGGATCCCTGCATACTTTTCCAGACAGGTGGAAAACTTATGCCTCAAGCTTGAAGAGCAAGGCTTGATCGTCGATCAGACGCAAGACAGCAGGAGCCTGATCTTCAAGGCTCCCTTGAAGCCTGACCTTGTGCAGGCAGCGGAGATCCCAGCAGTGATCACATTTGTCCGCAATGAGGCGGCTGAGAAACTCTGGAAAGGAGAAGGTACCTTCAAGGTGGCAGGCAGGAGGATTCTAGCAGTGAACCCAGCAGCCAACCCACCGATCTCGTTCAAGATGCGGCCAAAGAAGGAGAACATGGGCAGAGTTGGAATCCTAGCTGAGGTGGCCCAACTCCTGATGCTCAACGATTCGAGCACAGGTGACATATGTGAGATCTACAGGCAGCTATGCCTGAAGCAGGGATTAGCGATCATTGATCTGATCCCAAACGCGGGAATGACAGTGAACCTCCCCCCCAAGAGGAACCTACCGCCAAAGAAGGTGTTCGCTGCGGTAGGAATAGAAACAGTCAACCAGAACAGAGAGGTCGACTGGATCGCAACGTGCTCGAGCCTTGAAGCAGCGGACATCGTTCTTCAAGCATTCGATCGACATGGAAAGGATCGTGCAGGAGTCACTTTGGGACTGGTCTCAGAGAATGACAAAATACTGAAATGGTTCTCAGTGCAGATGGAAGCAACGGCGCTGCACAAGAATATGAAGAATGCGGTGCGACAAGAGGGCACGGCAATGGCAACGGGAGCAGAGATGCTGTACTCGGTACAAATCTCCTCTCCTGTGCCGTCAGGGAAGTTCTCCCGAAATGAGATTGAAAAAATCTGCGCAAGTGATGAAACGGGCAGAGCAAAAGTCATCCGAAACATTCGGAGGGCTGTCGCTTGCTTTGATCCACAGGTGGAAAAAGATCTCCAACGGATCCACCTCCAATGCGATCCAGAAACAGGGATCTGGGATGGGTCTGGTATCATTCTCCGGCTACGCAGTGAAAGTAGTGCAAGAAAGATGATGGCTGAATTCCCCACACAGCTCCTCTGCTGGCAAGGCACAGTTGAAATCCAAACGACAGCGAGCAGTCTGAACCTCCAAGTGTCGCCTCAGGCAACTCGCGATCAGTCTAACCCTGAGGCCAGGTCACAAACGACGGGGACCAGAGCAGAAGGAACTGTGTGGAAAGAGATCGAGCTCAGTTCCATTATCAATGAAATAAACCTCCCAGATGCGGGAACGGACGTGGTCGTCGTAGAACTTAAGGAAGCAATTGCTGACGTAACTAGGAGCGAGCTGCAACAGCAAGGGCAGCTTCAACTCCATCTTGATGACGCGGTGCAAGAGATGGCTCCGGAGAGCCCAGGAAATGCATCCTTCCCCACGCTACAAGAGTGGGCTGATAAGGGTGCCAACGCGGCAGAGAATGCCGTGAGCAAGCGACTGCGTGAACGAGTCAGGGTGATTGCAGGCAAACATACGTGGAAGGTAGCGAAACGCAAGAACAGCGCTTTCGCACCAAATGAAGAGAAGCCATTGAAAACTGATCTCCTCTTCATTGCTTTGAATAAATTCCTGGAGGCAACGGCGCTCTCCCTCGTAGGAATGCTGGGAGATAGAAACGAATTGAAATTTGTTTTGAGCAGTGAGCTACAGATGAAAGACGCTCGAATGGAAGATGTACCCGAGGCTGGGAGCATGGCGGCAGAATCGGAAGAGATGTCGCTTGACTCCTTCCCAGCAGCGCAAGCCTAATGGAAGCAGGAGGAGGAGGAGGAGTTGAGGGCAGGTGGGACAGTGGGCACCAGGGCGTGGTGGAATCAAGCAGAAAGAGACAAGAAGGTGAGAAAAAGAATGACAAAAAGAATCCAAAAAACAGAAAAATACAAACATTCGACTTGATAGGGGAGATCCCCTGGAGTCTACGGGAAAACAATAGAGAGTACGGAGCAGCGGCGCTGCTCAACTCAGGAGAAGATGGATTTCTCTCTGAGGACGTTATGGAGGCATTAATCGTTGAGGTAAACCGAAATTTAGAACCAGCGGAAGACAGATTTCAAATAGCATGGCTCCAAGGCACGAGGTATGCCAGCGAGCAAACTAGAAACCAATTTGGGCTGCAGAGAGGGACCATTGTTCTCCCGAGAATAGTAGCGGGTTTGAGAGATCAGGAGGGAAGGGCACGGAGAGCAAAACGACTGCTAGCCGGGGCAGCTCAACCATTCTTATTCCCTTGCGTAGAGAACGGCAATCATTGGATCCTAATCGTGGCAGATGTTAACACAAAAAGAATACACATCGTCGACTCGCTTAGCACGGCCCTTGAGAGAGACCTGGGGACAGTCAGAAGCCAAAGGGAGGCACAGTTTCAATTGGGGGGCGCACAGCGAATACTCATGGCGACGATTATCACCGAGGCAATTAGCGATCAACAAGAACACTGTGACGACACGGCATGGAGGGCATGTGTGTCAACTGGGCTTAGCGATCAACAAGAACACTGTGACGACACGGCATGGAGGGCATGTGTGTCAACTGGGCTGCAGACACGAAGGAAAACACAACAACAAGATATCTTCAACACAGGGAGGCAACAAGGCGTCCCCCCCGAAGGAAAACACGCATGAACAAGACATCTGCTGCTGGATGAGCTCTACAGCACGCGCAAGATACAGGTTACAAGGAATGGCAAGCTGCAGAGCTCACCATGGCTCTACAGCACGCGCAAGATACAGGTTACAAGGAATGGCAAGCTGCAGAGCTCACCATGGAACGTATACCTAACCGGATGGAAAGGCGAGAAGACGGCCAAGAACGCGCAGGCGATCTACAGGCGACCCAGGCATCTGAAGATGCACGGCTACAGGAGAGATTGGAAGACGAGCAGGAGCAAGGAGGACAAGGATCAACGAAGCTCATAGCCGCGACGGTCCTGCAACTACAAGACAGGTCAGCACAGGTAGACATCCTGACGTCCTCCCCTCCCCCACCTCCTGCTTCATGCCCCGTCTCTCCACTCCAGCCACCTCCTCCGCCACAAGCAATGCACACAGCGCCAATCTCGAAGAACGACAAGGAGACAAGGGGAGAGGAGGAGCTACCAGGCCCAACAAAGATGCAAGATGGGAACTCGTCTCACCTTCAATGGGCAACGGGGGCGGAGGAGCAAATCCTACCAGCAGGCAGCAAACCACCCACGACTACCACCGACAGGTCAGTGCAATCAGCATGGGTGGAAACGCACAGGAAGGACAACGCCCCTGGCAACATCATTTCTCACAATGTCAATGGATGCAGTCAATTTGTGCTGAAACACATCCTAGGATACCTGATTGAAACATATCAACCAACAGTCGTGCTACTTCAAGAAGTTTTGGTCGGGGGAAAACGAAAGGAGGCAGATCTCCGAATGATGATCAAGAAAGAATGGGGATGCTACCGAGTGTTCATGACGAAAGGTGCAGGGGAGGGGAGAAAGGGTAAGAGTGATCTTCGCCTTGTGACGCTAGTACATGCGGACCTTCTCCCTCGTCCCTCCCCCCTGCTCTGCCGCCGCGCTGACATGTTGGAAGAGCAGAATCTCCAAAAAAGAATACAACTTTTACAGATCGGAAAAAAAGAACCGATAGGGATCTGTAACACCCACTTTCCTACTGCAGCGCAAGGGGAGGATCAAGACGAGATGTGGGCAACGCTGAGCCAGATGCTCAAGACGGAGCCAAGTGTCAAGCTCACCATCATAGGAGGCGACTTCAATGCATCTCGACAACATCCAGAGATCCCCATGAGAGTCGGATACGGGAGCAAATCGAGTATGCACCGTGCAGATGAGAGAATGGAACAAGGCTTAAACGAACTTGGACGATCCCAGATGGTCACTTGCGAGAAGATGAGCAGAAGCAGCACGCACTTCACCTTCTCCACATGGTACAAGCAGGGTCATCACCAAGCAAAACTGGATCATGTCTTTGCATTACACCATCCATCTCGCACAGTAAGCTTAATATCGCAGACCGCAGAGGATTGCATCATAGGAGCCGCAGTCGACCACAGAGCACTTGTAGTGAATGTGAGCTCTCTCGATGCTGAGGGTAAGCAAGCCATCCCAAAGATTGAAATCCTCCCGCAAAGGAGGGATCGAGAAGCAACCCCTCGACGAAAGAAAAGGGTGGTCGAGATGGACAAGCTATCGGGAAGACTAGGCGTGGAATGGGCAATAGCACTTGATGAGAAGATAAAAGCGGCACAAGCTCTACATCAAGATTGCGACATTCTCGAATTGATAACAACAGCCCTCCCCATCAAGGAAATTCCGCTACGAGGCTCCAGCGGGAAAAGACATGCATCCAAAATTCAGATGGATCTGAAGCGCAAAATCAAGCAACTTCACAAGGACTTAAGAAACGCTTCAGAAATTCCAGACTTTATTGATCGCGCACACAAGGAGTCGAGCTTACATGCAGAAATAAGAGAGAATATGACCAAATTCAAGGAGATCTGCGCAGCACAAGACCAAGAGATATTCCTGAAAACATGCGAAGAACGAAGAAGACGCTTGGGCACGATAGGGAGTAAAGAGTCTCAAAATGCAATGGGCAAGAAGTCAGACTTTAAGCCCAAAGCCCCAATGCTGAGTCAACTGCCAGAGAAGTGCCACCCAAACAACGTCATGGAGAGATCTCCAGCCAGCGCTGCAACAGCCGGAGACAGCATATCTTCAAGAACTGAACCCGTTAATCGAGACATTCCTCCAGAACAACTCCAAAGAATCAAGCAAAACCTTTTGGAGTGCAAGACATCAAACCATGCTGCACGTCGAGGTTCTCGGGGCGAGGAACCAGGCAACACTGACACAAAAGCTGTTCATAACTCTGGCGCCTGCACACGCAATCGTACCCATCATCCGAGGACTGATCACACAGCCAGGAGGGTGGCGCCTGGAAGGATACAAAAACATCGAGCAATTCCTCCCCATGAGATTGGCAAGAGATCTAGAAGATGAAACCCACACGGCAACCTTCTTTGCAGTCAACGGATGTACCATGAACGGAACCTGTGCAAGAGCTGAATGTCAAACAAAAGGACGACTGATTCCGTTATATGACAAAAGCCAGAAAAACGAAGAAGCATCAATCCTCTTCTTCTGCAAAAGCTGTCAATCACTGACTTCCGTCAAACCACCGGACTTCGAACCCCCAGAGCAAATCAATCAACACCCGACCAGGGATGTAGAGATAGCTTACCCGCTGGAGCCAGGCGAGATCCAAGTATGGATTCAAAAACTGGCCAACCGGAAAGCAGCAGGCATGGATTTGATTTCAAACGAGATTCTGAAAGCTCTGCCTGACAGTGCAAAGGAGGAAATAGGCAAGACAATCAGCCGAGCCTTGATCGGAGACAAGCAAACACTAAAGATGCTCGCGAGAGTTAGGCTCCTCCCAAAAAATGAGATATGTCACATCTTGGAGAATCAAAGACCTATATGCGTCCTCTCCTCGATAACGAGGATCTTCCAGGCAGTCATAGCGCACAGACTGGCAAAAGCTGCTGAAAAACATAAGCTACTCACTAACAACCAGGAAGGTTTCAGACCAGAGGGAGGAACGATCAGGCAGGGTCATCGTCTACTCAACATCATCGAGGAGGCTCAGAGTAATCAACACGACCTCATCCTGCTGTACCTCGACTTTGCAAACTTCTTTAACAATGTGGCAGTCGAATCCATTGCAAAAATCATGGAAGTATATGGCTTTCACCAGTGTGATGTAGACGTCGCAATCAGTTGTAGCCAAGGGATAGCGCTGCAAATTCAGACAGAGAGGTTCGAAACAGCAGCCATCCCACTTCTCAGAGGATTACCCCAAGGCAGCCCCGCAAGTCCGCCAAAAACAAATCTTCTGCTCAGCATCTTGTCCAAACAACTTGATCAACAACAAGACGAGATTGCAACTCAACACCCTAATAATCTGTCATTTGCAGACGACCTTGTCCTGATAGCACATTCAGTGAGAGAGATGAAAACGCTTGTCCAAGTGGTAGAGCGATTCTGTCGATGGAGTGGATTAGAACTGAACACGAAGAAATCTGAAATCACCAGCTTTGATTATCGGCTAAGAAGGGAGATCCCAGGAACACAGACCATCAAGTTCTTCGACAAGGAGTTTGTGAACCTACCACCGACAAAATGGTTCAAATATCTAGGGATCCGGATCAGCTTGTGGAGACCAGGAGGAAGAGGCAACAAGGCGCACACCTGCCCCTTCACGTGGGGAGAGAAAGAACACATCTTGGAGAAGACAAAAGAACTGACAAAGCTGATTGAATCATCTGCTTACTCGGCAGCCCAAAAATATTACCTGGTGAAGGTAGGCATCGTCAATATCTTTAGATACTCGGCGGTACTGGTGAGCTGGTCTTGGTCAGACTTACAAACCTTAGATACCCTCTGGACCAGAGCATTCAAAAGAGCTATGGGATTGAGCAAGAGTACAAGCAACGCTATCTTTCACCTACCTTGGGACAAAGGAGGCCTCCAACTCCCCCATCCAGCACCCATCTTGGGAAGGGCGGCGATTCGGTATCTAGAGAAAGAAACGAATAAGAAATGCAGGGTGGATGATGATATCAAAAGCAGTCTGATCCACAAACTAACATCATGGTGCAACCAATGGGGGTGTCAAACAATAAACCAGCTACAACGAGAAATCAGATCGGGCAGACTCAAAGAGAACGAAGAGATAAGAGGACCGGAGAGACTCGCAATCTGGATAGCGGAAAAAATGCAGACCACCATCAGTTGGGAAATGATTGAAAGCAAGATGAAACCGGGGACAATAGCCATCTTACATGACCTGGAGGACAAGATGCTCTCAGAAGAAAACTCCCTGCTGTCCGGAGAAAACTCCCTACCTACATCTCCTGCTCGGCAAGGCTGGGAGAGTTTTGCAAAGGCATGGAGACTACTGCCCCAAGTAGGCTTCCACTCCATGACAAGTGTCTTACCCGTCCCAGATACCGAGGGCATCTCCCTGCACCTGCCCATCCGACTCTGGCCATTCCCAAAGCAAAGGGAACAAGCAGAAGAAATCCTTGCACAATATCTGCAAGCGAATGTCATCTGGGCAAAACTCGGACTTGAGCAGGCAGGAACAGGGAAGAGAAGAAGGCCAGCCAGGGAGGAGGGGAAGCCTCTAAACAAGAGAAGGAAAGGAAAAAGGGAGGCTAGCCCACATGAACTTCAGCCACACAAGAAACTAGCCAGACCGGACCAAGGGAGAGAGGAAACGAATACGAAGGCTTGTACCCGGGTAATTTTGAGGCGGTGGCTCCAACATGACCCCACCTGTTATGATGAAGGAGGGAATCAGCAAGAAAGATTCTGTTACACTACAAGCAATTACCTTTCAAAGTTCAAGGGAACATAGCCATCTTTGAGCGATCTCAAATTGAAGAAAGCAAGACCGTGGATCCACCAATAGAATGGTTGGAAGCGTCACTGGACTCGGCTCCCTTCGCATCTGCAACAAGGGAAGAGGACGGTAATAACCGAAGAGACTGCAATCAAAGCATACATCTGCTGCTGGAAATAGTTAATGCATTGGACGACGGCGAAACAGAAGCTACAACATGGTGGCAACAACTCGAGGAGGTAGTATCAGAGGTTCGCCAAGAAACAACACAACCATTGGCATACGAGTTTTTACAACATCTAGCAGAGATTACAGCATGCGACATCAGTACATTTCGTAACTGGCCTACCCTACACACACATCCCCAGGCTCTGGACAAGAAGAGAGCAAGGGAACTGCACAGAGTGGTGGTTTGGATGGACAAACAAAAGAGATTTCGTGAACAAATCCTGGATACAATACATGTCATTCTGATAGGATGGAAGAATTACATTGATGAGATACCAGAAGGTTTTGAAATTATCAGCCGGGTCCCGAAAGGCGCTCAAATAGCTTATGCAGCAAACTTCTGGCAAACAGGGAATAGGTGTTTGATGAAGACTGCAGAGGAGTTATGGATACTAGTTAGGCACACACTCCCAACATACTTACGAGTCCAGCTTCAGGACAACATCCTCCCAACGTATGAGGAGCTGTGTAACAGACGAAGGGATCAGATCCAGCCGCGCAGCAATCATCAAGGCGGAAGGCATTTCCCAGCAGCTATTGAAGGAGACATCACACAGGGCAGAAAAAACAGATCCATGCGAATAGGATATGTTCTCCAACAAAAAGAGATGACGTCAGGAGGAGGGATGAAAATCAATGGGAAGTGCAGCATCATCCGAGCGAACACAATCGCAATTGGCTTACTTCTGCAACATGTCCTTGAGGAAGGAATACAAATCAAAAGGGGAAATCAAGTCACTATAATGTACCAGTCCACACGTTTCCACCGCTTTATGACAAATACGTTGCGAATGGATACCATGCGATACGAAGACGAACTGCTGGAGGACTTACATGATCGGTTACTCACTTGCATGAAGAAACTCGAAGGAAGGGGAATCAGGATCCGACTCCAACTAGCAAAAGAATCTCAGAGACA